AAAGTGCACCTTAAAGATTTTGAAGTTGTTCTGAGGTTCTTCGATGAGCTGCCGGACAGCAAAGTGCATCCTCGCTCGGCTCCTGCGGGAACAAGCCGAGGCGTCACGGGGCCCGGGCAAACGCGCTCGCTCGTTCGCTCGCCCGCAGTCGGCAAGTCGACTCACCCTGAGAACAAGTCGAGGGGACAGTACAGGCTGCGTCTCTTCCAGCGCCCGCTGGACACCTGCCCGAGTTGACAAAGGCAAACGTTGGCGGCGCTGCGTTGCCAGCGTTTGGGTTGTGTGCTTTTGTTTTTTGGGCTTTACCTTGTAGTGTTGGTGCATACAGAAGCGACACACTTTGCTCTTGATGTCTCTGCTGATGTGCTTGGCCGATGGCAGGAAGCCGCACTTGGGCTAAAACGCACACGGGACCGACAAACATTTTGAGAATCCATTATTCTCTTGGTTATTCCATCAATGAATCGAATTCGATTTTATTTTGGACTAAAAACACCCCCCCACCCCCAATTCCTATTGATTAACCGAATAGTGTTATTTATTTGGTATTGGTTAGTGATTAAAAAGAAAAAAAAGAAGTGCAACATCACACGAGAGGGATTCATGATGTACTCATCAACCCCTTTGAAACGGATTCAGTTCTTGGTTCCCTCATTGTTTCCCAAAGTAAAAGCAGATGTTTGCAAATGTCTTATTTTGACACGACACAAAATCAAATCGGTGTGCCGCGGGCAATGTTGGATGTAATGTGATTGCGCAATTTCATTACAAAACGGAGGCAGGAGGTGCAATCCATCATGACATGACTGGGGGGGGGGGGACTTTGGAATGCTTTTGATTTCTATTAGTGGCATATCTTTGGCCACGTGGCGTCATCGCTTCTGTCATTGTTCAATATTTTCAGAATACAAGAAAAACATTTTTTGAAGGCACATTGGTGTTTTGTTTTTTTTTTGATATTGTAAGAAAAAACTTCAACCTGGATGAGTGAACACTGACGCGATATGAAAAGGACTTCAGAAAAAAAAAAACTCATGTGTGTGCTCTAAAAAAAAAAATTCTACACATATTTTTCAAAAACATCACTTCCTCTTTCTGAGGCCCACTCGTATGATTGATTTGGCACGAGCCATTCTGAGTCTCCGACTTGCCAAGTATGAATCGGAAGCGCCACCTTGTGGAGCAATGTATTAGTTCGTCCGGCATTTGGAAAAGGTTGGCTTCATCGGTGGCGCTTTTGAGCACATACATGTTGAGCTCCCTCGCGATGACGTGCGTTGCCGAGTCCCGGAGCAAACACAAAGTGCATGAAAACATTCAAGACTGGTGACAAGACGTCAAAATGAAATCGATATGTGGATGGCAAAGAAGATCTGACGAGGACATTGGCGAAGAAAAAGGAATGGTTCGCTCAAGCCAAACTTTGGCGCTGGAAGCCAGAAGGGAGCTGCACAACGGGTTCGACGCGCTCAAGATTTTGGAAATATGTTCTTAGGATATGCGGAATGTCATCTAGAGGGCGTGTGTGTGCGTGTGTTTTTTACCTTGATCTCCACGCAGAGCGGCGGCGTGTGCGAGTGCTGCAGGAGGCTCGGCGCGGTCAAGTTGGGCAGGCACAGAGCGCAGCCGCTGTAGATGTCCATCACTTTGTCGCAGCGCCACGCTATCGCACGCACACACACACACACACACACACACACGTGGGTAAAACAGGCACGCTTGTTGCTCGTCTTGCTGCTCATCGATGGTGCGTTCGTTCGTCTCTTACCGGGTCGCTGAGGTTGAACTTTGATTGACAGCTGACGCACAAACTCCAGCGGCAGCTTCACCACTTCCTGGAAGGAGACGAAAAACAAAAAAAATAAATAAATACACATCGGAATCTGCTTTCTGGTGCAACAGCGAGTATTTCATCATTTTCCCTCCAAAATTTTGGTTACTTTTGTCATCATGTTATTGTGTATTATTTGCAACTAGTATTTGTGAATTGTTTGTAAATATTTCGATTTTTTCAAGTGTTTTTAGAACGTATCTAATATTTTGTGCATTTTGAAATATTTTATGGGCGGCCCCAATTGAGTGTTTATTGATCAATGTGTTTAAAATGATGTATTTTCTCCATCAAATCAATTTGCATTTTGTTTTAACTAAATTGTTTGGGCTTTGGCGCTCTTGAGGAGTACGTAAGTGTCGCTAATGATATGACTTGCCTTACTCCCATTAGCAAGTCTCAGTCGCATATCTTGAGGCCGCATCGTTACATTACTTATCATCATCATCATCATCATCATTCCCCCCACAGTAGTGATCGGACATTTTCATCCCGATTCCTCCCTAATGTGTTTATCGTAACGCAAATATGTGAATATGTGGAGCAGGCGGCTTAGGAAACAAAGGCTGCATTCATCGCAGCTTTCGCAACATTGTTTCAAGGCTTGTGAAGTGACGCGCTGACGGCGACGTGTTCTTAGTTGTGCGACGCCTGGGGGGGCCGACCCGCCGAGCGCGTCTCTCATCCGTGACGTTCAGACGCTTTGGCGGCGGGTCGAAGAAGAAACAATATTGCGTTTCATCCTCGATGGACGTCAGCTGACTGGCTCCATAATCGGAACGCTGCGGCTTCTTGTCCTGCCGTGACCTTTTTATTCTTTTAAAGCGCGACGCCACGGAGGCATCTTTTGGAGAATGCTGCAAACATGCAGTGTTGATATTCAAAAAGACAACGTTGCTCACTTTGTCGTTCATATTTACTGCCATCTATTGGGAACACTTTCAGGATGCCTTCTTTTTTTTCCCTCAGTGTCAGAAAGAAATATCTTTTGTTATTTTGGTTGACTGTGAGCATAAACGACAAATACAGTTGGAATGTGATCGAATGTTAACGCTCACCCCACATGCCTCGGGTGCCTTCAGTCTAAATTTAACCTGGCTAAGCCTAATCCTAACCGAGACCCAAATGTCTGAATTTCAGGCTGCAAAAACGATCTCGTGGTATCTTGTCAACTCGCGGTGGAATTGTTGCGTAACCTGCACAAAAGGCAATTTCCTCTCTACTTGCGCCCGACCTTCTCGTGAATTTGTGTGTGCGTGCGTGAGGTGAGGTGAGGTGAGGCGTGTGCGAGTGCGCGCATCTCACTCCGCTGTGGATGAACTTGTCGCCCAGCAGTCTGCTCATCACGTTGGAGCTGAAGTCGACAATGTTCTGGATCTGCCTGAAGGCCTGCTCCGCCGTCTGAAACGCACACGTGGGCACACGTGACACACGCGCGGGTCGTGTACACACCGCCAACACGCCACAGTTGGCTTTTCGCAGTTCTTGTCGTACTTGCCACCAAAGACTGGCGATCAAACAGAATGATGAATTGCTCATATCTTAACACAGAAAATTAGCCTCTTCAGGATATGTTAGCATGAGTCATATTTGGCCTCTAATAACAAAGGATTGGCTGGCGCTTAAAACAAAAAGGCCGAAAGTCCCGAGAGGACAGTGCAGAAGGATGACTTTTGAAGGATCCGCCAATACATTTTCACGCGTCCTCGGCTCGCTTGTAAGGTGCTCGACTCTTAAAAGCAATTTTGGCTTCCATCGTTTCCTACTGGGATTAAGAGACATTTGCATGCCGAGTCAACACCAAGAGGCGAAGCTTCCGCGCAAACAAGTTTAACACGCCCCAACCCACCTGTGTAAGTGTGTGTGTGTGTGAGTGTGTGCGTGCACGCACACACTCACAAGCATCCGGAGAACTTGATGTGCTTTCAAAACAATTTGAATTAAAGGGCACACGCAGGCAGGCATGTCCCTTCATGCCTCATGTAAAGGGAAAAAAAGGGTAAAAGGTGCCAAAAAGAAACATTTGCTTTACCTGCGGTGGGTTTTCAGAGTCCTCTGCGGGATATTTAAGCAGGCGAAGAACTTTGGACAGCTACACACACACACACATAGACAAAAAAAAAAAAAATTCAATATTGGATTAAAAATGTGTAGATTTGAGGTAATCCTCAAATTGGTGATGTAAAAAAAAAAGCATTGGGGATTTAGCTATTTTTATAATTCTTCAGCTCTACTAGAGGTGCAACAAATAAGCCATTCATCAACAAGTCATTGATTCACAATTTCATGAACTTGTCAGTCAGGTATACAGTATAGATCTCACCGATTAAAGATGATTCCATACCTATCTTGATTCACTCCCATCTTTTAAATCAAAAAACGATTTTCCGATTCAAAACAGGTTCGGTCACGCCGAGTTAAATATTAGACCACATTGTTTCGTTAAATTTCTTGTTCAGTTTAATTCCTGGTACCTTGAAAGGTGTATCATGTGACGAACAGACGGAAACGAAAACATGGAATGCCTGAAAGCACAATGTTTGACAGTACAATACGCATCATACCTGTTAACGTTATAAACAAACAAGGAAACGGTTCAATATCAGCTCTTACTTTCGACTCCAATGTACTTGTCTTATTTGTCCACACAAATTCACCTGCGGTTGTGTACCAGGCATTTAAAATCAACAAGACACTGGAAAAGAACAGGGGTGGTCTCAGCACTTCTCCGGGACTGCATGACTGAGACAGTTTCAAGGGATATTGGGGATGACGAAATCAGAGGACGTTTTCATGACATATTTGCGTGAGAGCAGCTCACATGATTCCAAGCATCGAATGGGCAGCATCGAGCTCGCAGCCTCGTCTCACGTCGACCAAAACAAACAAAACAAAACCAAAGCAGGTGTGCTGTCCCAGAGCGTGCGAGAACACGACGTCGTTCGATCACTTGTTGCTCAACGTCGACATGCTCGGGCTGGTCCAGCGCCTTGAGGGGATGGGCGGGCGCGTGTACGAGAGCGCCCCGCGCACACGCACTTCTGACCGACTAGACTCGACTCGACTCGGCTTTGGTCTGCTCTGTCCAGCCGGCTGCCACCAGACCCGAGAGCACCTTCGGGATGCTCCGTGATGAGAACCCACACGACCCCGGCCCCACTCGCGCCAGCACGTAACATATCGGACGTGTCGATTCTTTGTGGCGTTTGTACGATTTTACGTGTGTTCTCAATGAATCGTCGTCAAGCTAGCGAAACAGCCCAACGACGCTGCGGACAAATTCTCCTCCGGTCCGGCGGGTGACACCTCCGTCACCCGCTTTCAAGACACATTCCCCGGGATTTTTTTTCCCGGCGAGTTGAGGCCGGCTGAAGGTGAAACAAAGTGTCAAGCGGCGGTCTGGAAACCGTTGTTAGCCTAGCCGACTCACCTGTACGTGGGAGACCACCAGGCTCTTGTTGCCCTCGCCGTGGTAGCGCCAGTCATTCTCGTCCATCTTGTCCAGCTCCATGGCGGCGAACGTGGCTGACCCCCGCTGGCGTTCGGCGGCGCCGGGCGAGTTTACGCGCTGGCGAGTGGCGAGGTGGCCGCTGGCAAGTCCGCCAACTACTTGCGAGTCAGTTAGCGGCGCCTTCACTCACCGAGTTTTGTCACAACTGCCAACTTCTGCCTGTGCCCAGCGCACACCTACTTCCGCCTACGTTTTCAAAGTACACATCAGGTCACGTCGACGTACGCGTTGCTTGAGCACATATACGACAATTACACACATGATTTATTCTACACAAGTCTACAGTGTTACAGTTAAATGCATTTGTAGCATATTTAAGAAGGCATACGATAGAATCAAAAATATTTGGTGACGATTAACTTAATTTTGGTAAACGATTCGACTCTGAAGCAATCTGCTTCCGCTGTTAACTGCGATCACTTGACGTGATACTTTGACAAACAGGTAGATCAGCCAATCGGCGTCACCAACCCCAGAGCGAGGCGTTCCCATCGAATTTTGATTGGCCAGTCTTGCACGAAGGATCTTCCGTGTTTTTTTTTCTGTTAAAATCCCGAAGTGGAAACGTCCAGTTGATCATATGATCGATGACTAATATATGCCCTCGCGTGGGATGAGTGTTTTATTTTGAAAGAGAAGAACAAGGACTTCTCTGGGGTCATCATTTAAGGCTTACATACAGTACATTTTCCGTGTACACGTTGTGTGGTAGTCTTTGTTTAGTAGGATTTGACCCAAATAATTGTCCACCAAATCATGAACAGCAAATCTTTTCACAATGTATTTGTTTCCTCACTTTTCATGTGGAAAATTAGAAAACCACTTTAAACGGACATATTACGTTTATGCATTTTCAGCATTGTCAATTTGAAGGAATGTACTGTTTTTGAATAAGAGAAATTTAAAGTTGTTTTTGTCCGATTATCGAAAAAATTGGACAGATTTAATCAATTATTAAAATGATCGTTCATCGCAGCTCTAATCCTGTCACTTTGCCTGCGTTGATGACTGAGAAAAAAAAACAAAACAAAAACAGCTCATAACTGATGGCAGGACGCAGAGGTTTTGAAACGGACTTTTCAAAGCTTGAAACCGGTAGCTAGCCACGCCTACTGCACATCGTTATTTACTTTATCAGATGACATGTTGCAATTGGATTCATTGAATGGCATTTTCCATTCATTTCAATGTCAATACAATCAGACAGTAGCAGTTCCCAGTCAAGTTTGTCAAACTGAACACGGCTTCTGATAATTTGAGATTAATTCCAAAATGTTTTAATATGTATAAAAAGTAGCGCGCGCGCGCGGGCACACGCACGCACACGCGCGCGCGCACAGGCACACGCACGCACGCACGCACACACGCACGCACGCACACACACACACACACACACACACACACACACACACACACACACACACAGTCACATTAATTCTATATTCAATTCTATACAAGTCAAAAAGAACATAGGATGTGATCTCTCCTGTTGGTGGTCCCGACCAAGGTGTGGGTGTCGGAAAGAGCGCATTTTCTTCCCAGTCTGCAAGTGACAGAGGAATTGTGTGCTTCTATTTGTTTTGTCGCCTCAGTCCATTCCTCCTATGTCGTGCTGCTTGTACGTCTGCGTCACCAGCGTCCCTGCAAAGGAGGAGCACGGCACTTGTCAGGCTTCGTTGCAGCAGTCTCAAAAAGTAACGGCCAGGGGGACATGACAGTAATCACCCACATTTTGGCACTTCACAATTTGTAAATATACCTACAGTATTCTTGGGTTGTTGTTGTTGTTTCCAATGTATCCTTTGTTGTCTGAAAAATGATTTGCGGCTTTCAGGAGTATTTTTTGTGCTCTCACTTACACCCTAAGATGCCACAAGAGCCCGCCAATGTCCTGGATAACAGTAAAGTAGTAATCGGGGTTGCTTTTAAGTTTACGAGTGATCAGGCATTTATTTTGAATTGGATCAAAATTAAACTGGAAGACATTGTAGAATTGGACAATCATGAAACGAGACATAGGAATTGGCACAATTTCACCAATTGTGCCCGAGTATGTAAATGAGCACAACCATATGCTGAAGTGACAACTAATGTATTTTAAATCTTTTGTTTCTGTAACTATATATCCATTTTTTCATTGTTAGTATTTCTGTGTGAATTATTGTCATTTGACAATGCGGGTGGGGGTCGCAGATTAAAACTTGTTTGTTAACATTATTCCAAGAGGAAGAAGTGATTTCAAATGATCTACATAAAAATGTATATTTGTTATTTGTTTCAGTGGAAGTTAATGGTGTGAGATTAATTAAAAAAAAGAAAAAGACAAAATATGCTAGTTGTCTCCACTCTGCATGTTATTTCAGAGTATGGGTATATTTCTGGGTGGGGGCCGGACTGTAGCTGCACAAAGGCTCTTAATGTGGAAGGAGCAGGAGTTAGTCTAGCGAAGAAGACAAAAAGGACAGGAAGTGAGCAGCACACCGAACAAGGCCAAAGGAGCGAGGCGGGGCGAGGCGGGTGCGGGGAGCAAGGAGGGCCAAGCGGGAACTGGAGCAGCCAATCGTCATTGACATCAATTAGTTCGGGAGTGGGGTTGAAAGTCGGCAAACCACAGCCTGAACACGTGATGCATGTAGAACTGTGATTTAGATGATATGGATAATTATAAATTCACTGGACACTTCATTAGGCACACCCTCCAATGTCAGTGTGAGCAAACGTTTGCAAAGCCCGGACATTTTTTTCCTTTCATAGCCTCAGCTGTGCATTGCCTACCAACGGCGCATTGAAATGAACAATTAGCACATTTATGACAGCATTAATCATTCAAAGTTTGGATATGATTTGGTTACAGTCCACTTGCATGGGAGACAAATGGCGCCCACCAGATTCAGCAGATGAAGAATGGTGTTTGTGGCTTGCAATACCGCCACCTAGAGGAATGGAATGGAACTTCGGCTGGAACGTTTCATGTTAGCAAGTGAGTCCGGCAGACACGTTTTCCTGCCGTATTTGACATCCTGAGATTGTGCATGTGTTCCTAATAATGTGTCCAGTGTTTCAGACTGTGGCTTTGCACCAGGCGGAGTTCTCAAACATTTGAGGTCCAAGAACCCCTCACAAGGGGACCATTTGCCCCAAAACCCTCTCATAAGTTGACAGCAACATAATGATCATGAGTACCCCGGAATTAAAAAGATGGTTTTGTTTTGTTTTTTTCGAAAAATTTGCAAAAACAAACATATTATGAGAATGAAGTTCTGAAATTCAAGTTGCATTTTTCCCGAGAGAAAAAAAAGTTCAGATTTTTACTACTTGACAAAGTCCTGAATACCAAATGAATTAAAACGTTGCCTATTTCTGAGGAAAAAAGTCACAGTGTTATGATAAATTCATATTTTTTTCATCTTTTTTGGGGCGCGGGGAATGAAGTACTGTATTTTCCGAAAACAAATTATCCGTACAAGAGCAAGGATATTTTATTGGGGTAAACAGTTGTAATCTCCCTAGAATGATCTTATATTTTTTCAAGACAAAGTAATATTATAAAACCTCTATTTATATGCCGCTTTCACAACAGCTGCAGTTGTAACAAAGCGCTTTCCAAAACATGATGATTCTTATGTCAAAATTGAACAAGTGAGGAGATCAACATTTTAACAAGTGCTTTTAAAAACAAAACAGCTCGATATTCCTGTAATACTGCCACTTTTGTGATGCTCAATAGAGGGCACGCGTTAGCCCCTATGATCATATTAGTAGCATCGTCAAATTTGTTTTAGAAATGCGTAATTCTGAATATCCGATTGACTTTTTGACCATTGCGGGTGTTGCTTTCCTAAACAATTTAGTGCACTTTTTGAAACGCTATGACATGATTGATTGCAAATGAGTTTTGATTTTGTGGCATTCTTTGGACCCCAGTTTGAGAAGCGCTGCTTTGGAGACCTGATGGCCGACTGTTGGTGTTATTGTTTGGACTCGGGGGAGGGAGCAGCACAGAGGAGACAGGCTGAGCTGTCAATCAGCAGAGCTTAGTTGAGCAGAGGGACCAGCAGGACCAGCACAGCACCCTCTGTCAGCATCAGGGGCAATGGCACGCTTACCTGTGGCCAGGCCCCCCTCTGCCCTGCCCTTCATCCCTCCTCCTCCTCCTCCCGGGCCCGAGCTGCCCAGGACGTCCATGGCGAAGGACGGCCGCTCGCCCCCCCTGTAGGGCTTGGGTCTGAAGGGGAAGTCTTTGTCTTTACCTTTGGAGCCTTTGGGCCGGCCCGCTGCCTTCTTCTTCGACTTGCCATCGCCCTTCACGCCCAGCAGGGGATGCACCTCTGGAAGAGAAACGATCGCCACTTTGATGTGAGGATTCAAAGCGGCTGACTTGAGACGGCGCTGCTGTTTTGGTTCGCAAGAGAAGAGCAACCATTTCAATCATCTGCGTGAGGAATAGTGTCACCGCTAAACAACAGCGCAAGAGTGTTTTCCGTGCCCCGATAGATGCTGCTGTTTTGGTGAGCAACAGAACAGCCGCCTCTGAAATCTTGGTGTCCACTAATCCAGACTTAATAAAGTATTTCTTAGTTCTTCCTCTTCTGCACATACAATTCCCCCACTGCCATAGGAAGTTTATGGTAAAGCTGACACCAAAATGATATGGTGCTGTAATTTATGGTTATCCCTTCTTACCATCAACTGGCACCCCCTGGAGTTCGATGTTGGTAGTGCGTGCCTTCTTCTTGGCCGGGGCTCCGTCGGAGGACGGCGGCCGCTGTTTCTTGTCGCCGCCCGCCTGCATTTCCTCGGCGGCCCCGGCCTGAGGCGTGGAGTCCGGTGGAGGGCCGAAGGGGTTCTCCTCAGGGTCCTCCACCTCGGGGGCGATGGGAAGGTACAACAGAGCCTTGTAATCTTCCAGCTCCTCATCGCTGCAGGAAACACACAGGAAGCTCTGAATGAAGGTTATATATAACTTCAGTTTGGCCTTGGCAAAGGTCTGCCCTCTGCCACTCTTGTTGCCACTGAAGGTGTTCAAACGTGGTGTGGACGCCGTTCGACCGCCCAGCCACCTCAGTGTCTTCCTCACCTGCTGCAAAAAGCCACGATGGGGTCCACCGTGGTGACGTCCACCTCCTCGTCCTCGGCCGCGTCCGCACCTGCCACAGTTAGAACCGGCGAGACCAGTCCGTTAGACAGAAACGTGTTTCAATCGTGCGAAACACGCAAATGTGATAAGCGACAGCGGTCGCTCGTATGGCGACAGGCCGTCGCGGTCGGGGCCTTGCCGATACGTCAAATTTAACGGCGGCCACCTCTACTGGCTATTTGAGAGGTCTTGCTCTCCAAAAAGCGTTGTACCTGTCTGCTCGGGTTCACTCTTGTCCTCGTCCTCAATATCAAACTCAGATTCTCGCTCCTCGTACTCGACGTTCTCATCCAGCTCTTTGAAGTCGGGAGCAAAAGCGCTCCAATTTTCCTGCGGGTGGAAAACTGCAGTTTGGCATGTATTCAGGATGAATATTTTTTCCAATCAATCGGACGATGAGTTTCCGGAATGTTCCCCGGGCAACTGTGGGAATGTGCAGGCCCTCCGACTAACCACTTGGTTTTGGGCCCAGATGGACACCACTCCGCTTGAGATGGAGGCGATGATGGGGCGCACGGGATGCCACTGCACATTGGAGAAGAGTAAGGTCACGTGACTGTCAAAACGTGCAGCAACACAACACCCGGCAGGTCCTTACGGCCACGTCCAGCAACAGTTCGCCTCGCGTGCCGTGCAGGATCTTCACCAGGTTGCCGATGCTCTTCTCCCAGATGTAGAGGGCGTGTTGCCGGGCCGAGCCAGCAACGATGTACTCGCCGTCCCCGGAGAAGCAGCAGCGCTTCCATGGAGTCCTGGATGTTGGGATCAGAGCGGCGGCCCACGGTAAGACACGGTGAAAGGTGGCCCTGGTGTCATCTGAGCAACTCTGGCACGGAAACGGTCAAAGTTCAGAGGGTTCAGAGCGCACCTGTTGACCAGGTCTTGGAGCTTCTGCATGGGTTCTGGCTCGCCGTCACGGCCGCACGTCAGAATCTCCCTGCCGTCGTAAACCCGGATGATGCGGTCCGCTGTGTTGATGAGGAAGCAACTGCAAAGCCAGACCGGTGGCAAAGGAGATTGAAAAAGCTACTTTATCATTTGACATATTTTAAAAATGCTTTTTAACATCATGGCGAGTTTAGCTCATTTGATTATTTTATTTATTGTGTGTATTTGTTATATGGTTTTGTCTTTTCTGCCCTCAATATTCAATAAAAAAAGAAAATTAGTCGAGAATTCAAATTTTCATAATCACAAACATGGGCTTCAATTAAAGTATTTTCATATATAATACATTACTTTTTACTTTATGCATCTACATATTATATATATATATATATATATATATATATATAAAGGTGTATAAATAGATAAGTACAGTACACATAAGTACTTGATGAGATGTAGATCTCTTCCTTTTCTTTTGCTATATATATATGATTTTTGTTATTGATTGATTGAAATGATTTGTTTTAAATCTCATCCATCCATTATCTGAATTTTAAAAAATGTATGAAAAAAGAACTGCCCTCTTGTGCTTGCGTGCAAATTTCTAGTTTGTATCAGTATAGATCAATTTTTTAATCATGTTTCTTTTGATTTTTTTTTTAATCCCATAATATTTGGTTATCTTTAAATTACACTATGAATAATATTGATCTATTTTTGGCAATTGAAACAATTTATTTTAATAAGCAGACAAAAAACAAAACACAGAGGTTTGAATAAGACAAATCCAAAGAAAACATGTTTGACTGTCGTCTCACCTGCCTTTGCGTGCAAATTCGATGGATTTAATGGCGGTGGTGTTGCTGGTGCCAGTGGTGACTCGGAACGACGCCACCAGGTCCTGAGTGTCTGTGTTCAACACCAGAATCTACACCACGCAAGAATTTCGTCAATCAACAATCATCTGTCTGATTCAATGCTAGCCAATGAAACGCATGCACACGTCCGGCCGTCCCCGCTGGCTGACCTTTCCTTTGGCATTGCCGGTGTAGATGTACTCGCCCCGCCTGTCAAAGGCCGCCACCACGTTGAGGTCCGAGTCATCGTCCACGGGCAGGACCACGTGTTTGGAGTCGGACAGGGTGAGCAGCACCGGCGCCGACTTCATGGGACACACCAGCACTTTGTCCCTATGGAACAAGCGGTGATGTTTGACTCAAACGTTTTGCACCAAGTAACACCTTGAAATAGCCTTGCTTCTCTAGGAACCAACAAGGTCAACAAAGTACAGTGTTCTATAGATTTGCATGTATTTTTTTGGTCGACTTACATGTCTCTGGGGTGGCACTGTAGCTTGAGGATGGGCGAGGGGAAGCGGAAGCGTTGGTCACAGTCGCCCGTCAGCACATCCCACTGTGACACGATGTTGTCTGTGGACGCGCTCACCAGCTTGTGGCCGTCTCGACTCCAACTGGAAACACGTTTTTCCGCCCCCACCGCGAACTTGCATCAAAATCCACGGAAATAGTCCAAATATATGTTTTTGTTTTCTTTACAGATAAAAGGGAAAAACGTGTTGTCGCTTTTTTCAAAACATATCTGTAAACACAAATAAATTAACATGTCAAGTGATCAACAATTGAATCATCTTGGCTTCTGCTTATATATCTTATGACACATGCTAATTTTTACCCTAACCTTACCTTTGCCATTGCTGTTTGTTTTCAGGATGCATCTATTTTATTCAGTCGGGTTGTTCAGTATGCGGTGGGACGACAACTTTTGCACAATTTAGGGGCTGTAGTAACAGATGGGTACTAGTGTGTAGTTGTGTGTCTCACCATAAGGAGCAGACGGGGTGTATGTGTGCACTGATGATTTTGGCAATGCCGCGTGTCAGGAAGTCCCAGATGACAATACGTCCGTCGTTGCAGCCCACCGCCAGTAGGGTCCCCCAGCGGTTGAAGGTGCAGGTGAGGGCCATGCTGATGCAGTCCAGCGTTCCATCTGCCTCCTGACAAATGCAAGCAAAAGAGGAGCTAAGCCACAATTACATCTACATACATTTTTCTAAGAGTGTTGTCGTCGGTGTGTTTGTTTTACCTCAGGATAGTTCTGCCCAAAAGATTCTAGGGGAGAAAGAAAAATATGAAAGCAATAAGCATGGGCAGTGGACACACATTGAACAGATTCTCAACATGATTCCAAACTGCTAATTTTCAACACGACATACTCGCTAGATAGATACATTAATGATATTGTTCTTTCTATTGCATGCTGGAAATTACAAACAGTAAAATAATTAATGTGAATGCGCTAATGATGAGACGAAACGTAAAATATCCATGTGAATATTTAACTATTTCAAGGAACAAGAACGTAGCTTCACTGTCAAACTGTCTTGTCACTAATAGTTGTTGAATGTGGTGCACGAGAGAGTACAGTAAAATACGGAAGGCTTAAATATATGCGTTTGAGTGACGTGAAACAAATACGTCTCTTAATATTTCGTGTATTTTCTAACGTGACTTATCATGGTTACATGCACACCCCGTGCACATTGTAAAATATAACCTTTAAATTACTGAGCAAGTGCTCGTGTTATTTCAGTAAGTATGTGAGAAAACGTAATAAAACATAATTTGTGTCATCTTACGTGCTAGGCTAGCTCGCGATGCTAATCACAACACACCCGTCGCAATTTTAAGGAAAGACGTGACAATTTCAAGCAAGTAAGAGGATTCTTTAGTTACCCAGGAGTTCGAGATTCATTGTGGGTCGAACAACGGTCCGACGATATCCAATAAGTTGATTTCAGCAAATATTTCCTTCAGTTTTTTTATCGTATTTTTCAATTCGGTTGTTTCGACCCGGGAGACCCGCCGAGTCCTCCGCAAGGACCCCAAACAATGTGACCAAGAACATGCCTGAAACAAGTAAAACGCATAAGGGATAAACAAAGAGGACTGGTTGTGTCCAAATTTCTCCCTTTACCTTCCAACTGGTGACCATAGGGCACGATCGTAATTAATCACTCCTTCTAATTGTAGTCGTTTTTTAATTCGCCTTAATGTTTTCGTAGACACTATAAAAGACCCAAAACACTGCGACCAGAAATATGCCAGAACAAAACACAACCATAGAGATGGCTGACGAGCAGCCACCACTTGGCATTCTTTATGATTTAATTAGAATCAATGAATTCATTTTCGTTCAAATTTTCAGCCGTGTTTCTGACTTGGCTCTACAAGAGAGATCTATATTGGAATACATCATGGGCTCAGGGAGAAATGCTCAGGGCGCTGTCAAAGTGGTGGATATTATTCTTCAATGCGGGACATTGAATCAATAACAAATGGAGGGGAGGGGGATTTAAAGGCTCCCCCAAATCTATAAAAAATTGCTAATAAACATTTTTTTCCACAAAAAATAGAAAAAGGAGGGGAAGAAAGTTTTTTAAAAATCTTAGAATGCAAGGGTGCCAAATCGCAAGTGTGTGGGCGTCTGGTGTATATTCTTTATCCTGTGCAAGGAATGACTTCAATTACAAAGGTTAGTGTCTGCATGACTGTATCAAACTGCCCCCTGGTGGCCAAATCACACACACCAGAAGAAGCCAAGATGAATTCATTTTGACGGACAAACTGTTTAATTCTTGACATTCTATTTCATTGTCATTCCTGTATGTTTATACAAAGTACAATATTACAGAGTGCAACTTTACTGAATAATAATTACTAAAACACAATACAACCATTTGTGCTTGCTTTTTTTCTGGAAGCTGGAATGTATTGATGACATTTCCATCATCACGCATTTAATCAGTTATGAGTCCCGCCGCTCGGATGACCTCCTCCAAGGCAGCTTCAGGCCCGAGCAGCCTCAGCAGGCTGTGGAATGCCTCGGCGGTGCCAACTACAGCCTGAGACTGGAACAGCTGCAAAGCTGTGGAGAAAATTATTCATGTTATTAATATAATGACTCACTTTAATCATGACGTTTCCTCTTCTTATCATATTGTGCGAGAGGGGCATCTCACCTCGATCTGGGATCTTGGTGAGCAGGTCCACTTTTGGGGTGACCTCGCCTTCCTTGGACACATCCACAGACCAGTGCACCAAAAATATACAGCTGACATGAAAGAAAGAAAAGCAAAACATTTCAAAGTGGTGCAAAGACGGGCACATTCATTCAAAATTCATTTGAGTTTTTTTTTTTTTTTACCCAGGAAGATCAGGATGATGAAAAGTCAGCAATGATGAATTGTCGCCAGGAGCACAAACCACATGCCCGTATTTGGTCTACAAACAAAAACATACACACAGATGAGTATGGGACCTGTCCACTGTCTCTTTGTGACCCCCCCCTCTCCCACACACACACATACATTGGCTGACCACCAGTTCCATTAAGTGTGGATGTGTGAGGCGTGCAATTACTCAGCAGGGGGCGTAACAAGCTTGGTTGAAGCTAATCTAGTGCTGAACAGAGAAAGAAGGTAGGAGGAGGGCTGAACGTTTTCAGAGGCTTCTTCTCGTCTCCTACTCTCTATCCCCCAGCTGAAATGCGAGATCAAAGCTGACTCGGCACTTTGTTTTCCCAACCACAACATATGGGGAGTCTATCATGACCCACAAGAACCAGAAGAAGAAAAGGAAAAGCGAAATCGAACGAGAGGAAGAACACGTATACTGTATGTGTGTGCCAGATGTTTGTTACAGTATCACAACATGTTTTGATACAAGTAAACACAGTTCAAAGGACTGACAGCTGTCCCTAATATTCTGACCTCTCAGGCCACATGTTCAACACTTTTGATCTGAGGTATGTGCTTCCAAGCTGCAAATATTTCATTTATTGGAAATTGTGTGCGTTTTCTCAAGATGTTACTTTGTGAAACATTTATTATTTATAGGATGTTGTTTTCCCAAGAGGAAGCTTGGATTGTCACAATAAGACTTTTTCAAATGTCATTGATTTCCTATTTTTTTTTTTTTTTAACCTCCAAACTTGTTGGGTATGCAAAGAGACGTGAAGAAAATCCCAGAAGCAAAATTTGTTCTGTATCATTTGCTTTTTCTTTGTTGTGGGTTTTTTGGGGGACGTTTTTGGACACTTGAGTGACATACAGTATTTGGCCTCTTCATGAACTCTGACCTCCTTCCAGACCTGAGTGACGCTCCCCTCCGACACGCTCGCTCTCTTCCTCCCTCGCTCTCTCTTCTTGCTTGCTCGCTTGCTGCACCACACTCGCTACGCAATCACGACTGCGACGCACACAGAAACTTTTCTGGACAACACACAGACGTAGAGGAGCATATCTGAATACATACACACACATCCACATACACACACATCTCTTGAGAAGCTTCCACAAGAGGAGGAGGAGGAGGAGGAGGAGGAGGAACGAGCAAGCAAGAATTTGGCCTTCAAAGTGCTGGTAAGGTCCACTTCCTGCCTGTCTATCTGTCTTGAAGTCATTAGCTCCGCCTCCTCAGTGCACTTGCATTGTTTGGTGATGCTGAATTCTTATTAATTTGAGTATATACTGTCTGATTAGCAACACAGGCTAGTCGTCGGGCGGAGGTTTCATTGTTCGGAGCGTCGTCATCAGCATTTATGTAACATTTTTCCCTTTTAGCAGGCAAGAACCATATTTGGTCACTGAAGCCAGCGTTCAAAATGGACGCCAGCAAGCCTCACTCACAGCCAGCAGACCAGAGCTCAGCCTCCGAAGCCACTTTGAAATAGTAGCATGAAATTTGGTAGACGCGTGTATCATGAGCAGACTCACAAAAAAGTCTGAAGACGCCAGGCCCAAAAACACACAGCAAGTCGACTATTTTGTTTTGAAGTGGCCAATTTGTCACGGAAAGTCTTGAAATAGTTTGATTTCTTTTCTGTTATTATTCGAAAAAATTAACCCCTCGACGCCAGTTTGACTTGTAACATGAAATTTGGTCGGCATATTTTCCCCCATGAGTAGAGCCACAAAAATCTCAATGAGCCACCCAAAAAACACAGAGGAAGCTTACTATTTTTGTTCAATGTGGTTCAAAATGTCAAAGAAACTCATGCGAGTGTTTGATCTCATCGATGATATTATTCTAAAAATTCAGCCCCTGAAGCCAGCTAACCTTATCAACATGGAATTTGGTAGACATGTCTATGATGACTAGACCCACAAAAAAGTCATGAGAAGCTAAATCTGAAAAGACACAGGAAGTTAGCCACTTTGTTTCAAAGTGACAATTCTAGCACAAAAACTTAAAATTGTTGTTTCTTTATGGTTATGATGCTTTAAATTCAGCCGACGAAGCCAGATAACCTTTGCAAAAAGAAATTTGGTCGGCATTTTCCGTGATGAGTCGACCCACAAAAAGTCTCAAGAAGCCATGCTCGAAAAGACACTGGATGTCAGCCATTTTAGTTTGAACCAATTGCTACCAAATTTGAAGCATGTATACCTGACAGATGGACAATGCAAACATTGTGAAAATCTGGAATTTTTGTTGTTGCGTGTAGGTGGAGCATGGCAACCAAGTCTGATGACTAAATCCATTTTGGAAAAAAAACAAAACTCCAAAAAATAACTTTTGGAAAAAGTCAAGCCAGGTCAAGCATCAAATTTTGTAATTAGCGTTGAGACTCAAAAGATGGAATTTCAAAGCACTTTAATGAGTCTTTTAGTTTTATATGGTGGAATAATATGTCTTTACCAAAGTTGAGAGATGTCACATGGCGAACTAAAGTGTTATTTTTTTCCCTTAGTGGATTTTTTTTCCCTCTGGGAAGCGTTCTTAATAAAGTACATGTAAAATGTCACTTTAACGAGCAAAAAATGAGAGCAGCTCACATTGTCTGGCTTTCATTAACACACACAGACACACACACACACACACAAATATTTTTATCCTGCTGTTGAGCTCCATGTGAGCCTGCTCATCCAGGATTTTAAAGGGAAAAAAATATTTTCCACGTCTCACGTCTCCCCTCCTTCGACTTTCTTCTGTCTGAGGACAGATGAGGCATGAAGCATTAGTCGTGCGCTCGCTCGCCCTCTCTCACTCTCACTCGCCCCCCCCCCCCCCCCCCTGCCAGATCCTCCCTCCCTCCCTGCCGCTGTCTTATTTAATTCCATGTAGAATAATTAACCCTGCCAGATCCTCCCTCCCTCCCTGCCGCTGTCTTATTTAATTCCATGTAGAATAATTAAGCCTTAGACATGGCAAAACAGTTTAGTCAGGTGTGACTTTTTACTGTCCGCACGGGGGCAGCAGAAACAATTCTTTTGTTCACCAAGAACTTGAGTTGTGGTTAAGTGGTTACAAAGAATGTGGTCTGCTATCAAATGTCCCCTGGGCTCACTTCTCTCAACCACACACAACCAATATGAGATTTTTTTTTTTTTGCATGTATCTATTTCTATGAGTAGCATCATCAATCTGTCTAGTATATGACTTAGAAAAGGTTATCTGTCCATCCATCCATCCATTTTCTAATCCGCTTGTCCTCACGAGGGTCATGGGCGTGCTGCAGCCTATCCCAGCCGTCTTCGGGCAGGAGTTGGGGTACACCCTGAATTGGTTGCCAGCTACTCCAATAAAAGGTTAGCTGCAATCAAACAAAATCCCGAGGAAACGTTTGTCACTGTAGGAATGCTGGAAATGCTCAAAATGGCAAATTCAAATTAAAATGGCAGGCGTGGATTTTGTGGGTCTAATCATGATAAACAACCCTACCAAATTTCATGATGTTAAAGCAAATTGAGTTCAGGAGCTAAACATATTGACATTATGTAGAAACATGGAGAAAGTTGCCAGCTACTCCAATAAAAAGTTAGCTGCAATCAAACAAAATCTCGAGGAAACGTTTGTCACTGTAGGACTGCTGGAAATGCTCAAAATGCCAAATTCAAATTAAAATGGCAGGCGTGTTTTTTTGTGGGTCTAATCATGATAAACAAGCCTACCAAATTTCATGATGTTAAAGCAAACTGACTTCAGGGGCTAAACATATTGACATTATGTAGAAACATGGAGAACAAGACTCTAAAATGTCCACATCAAAACGGCAGACTTCATGTCTTTTTTGGGACATCGCTTCTTGAGCATTATTTTCATTTTTTTGCTGGTCTACCATTGATAGACATCCCTACCAAATCTCATGTTGCAAAATAGAACTGGCTTCAGAGGTGGAATTCTTTTTCCAAAATGTTCTCGACCTAGTATCATCCACCAGACTAATGAACACATTTAAAATTTAGCAGCAACGTGACTAAAATCTTCGTAGGTTTTGGTCTTTAAAGGACCCTGAAAATGGACCAACAATGTCCACCTGAAACCAAACTATAGCCGCGGTACACAGAAAATAGCCTTATCTTCACATATTCACACCAAACTATCAGGTGTGTGTCGAGGTAGAGCCTTTAATCATGACAGGACTTCAGACTACTAATTACACACAACTCACAAACACACACACACACACACACACACACCCACACACACACACATGCACAAAAAACAGTATCTGCGGGCCAGTAGCTGCACAAACATCCGTGTTGACACCAAGGTGCCGCAGGTAAAAATTTCCTGTTGCTTAACAGGAGGAAAAGATTCAGTTGGAGCTTGACGGTGAGTGTGTGTGTGTGTGTGTGTGTGTGTGTGTGTGTGTGTGTGTGTGTGTGTGAGCACATGCACAAAAAACAGTATCTCAGGGCCAGTAGCAGCACAAACATCCGTGTTGACACCAAGGTACTGCAGGTAAAAATTTCCTGTTGCTTGACAGGAGGAAAAGATTCAGTTGGAGCTTGACGGTGAGTGTGTGCGTGTCCGTGTGTCCGTGTGTGCGTGTGCGTGTGTGTGTGTGTGTGTTTGTTAAGGTATGAGGACAGGTCTGCTTATCGCAGCTCTGTGGCTGCTTCTGGTTTTCACCGTGACGGACGCACAAAACGGGCGGGGAAAAACACGCCAGCCGGATGGAGGAATGCGACGGATGAAGAGGAAACGGGACGGACCAGGTAAGATGCTTTCATACAGAGATCCGGCAAAAAAAAACAAACAAACAAAAAAAAAAAAAATGGTAGAGATGATTGCACTCTACACCCCTGTTTCCTGCTATTGCCTCTCACGCAGTCCAGAGTCTGGACATGGTAAAATTCTCTGTTCGCGAAATAGATTTTACCATAACAGAATGTGAGAAGCCAATGGTGGGTGGTGCTGTAATTGCGGACTGACCTTCCATGCAGACTCTGATAACACCTATGAAAAGGGACCGGTTGCCAAGAAGTGACTTTCAGGTCAAGGAATTGCAGAGTACGCTTTCACACAGATTCTGATATGAGCTCAGAAGTCGCCTTCGGACTCTCAATCCATGGACGGACCAGGTAAGATGCTTTCATACAGAGATCCGGCAAAAAAAAAACAAACAAAAAAAATGGTAGATGATTGCAGTCTCCACCCGTTTCCTGCTATTGCCTCTCACGCAGTCAAGAGTCTGGACATGACAAAGTTCTCTGTTAGCGAAATTGATTTTACCATAACAGAATGTGTGAAGCCAATGGTGGGTGGTACTGTAATTGCGACTGACCTTCCATGCAGACCCTGATAACACCTATGAAAAGGGACCGGTTGCCAAGAAGTGACTTTCAGGTCAAGGAATTGCAGAGTACGCTTTCACACAGATTCTGATATGAGCTCAGAAGTCAGGAAATTGTCAAGTCGCCTTCGGACTCTCAATCCATGTTGATACCTTTCACACATAAAGGCTACCCCGGGGAGAAAAGGGGAAGTATTCCTTCAACCTTTAAAGGTAGTTGAATAGCTCTTTTCAATCCCCCTTCTCAAAGCCGCCATGTTTACGTTTGATGTGAAAGACACGGAATTATTGAATGAAGGCATGCTGGCGATTTTCCGCCGTCAGTGGTAGCGCTAGAATCTGTATGAAAGGTTTTTCCCCAATCCCAACACCTGACAGTCACATCTCAGTGAATTCATACCTTGACAGATCGTATCAGAGCCTGTGTGAAAGAGTTGTCGGCAATTCCAGGACCTGACAATTATTTCTCTTGCCAGCCGTGTTGCGTTGAAAGCAATTGTTGCCATCAGACAAATATACAGTATAACTCTGTCAAATTCCTTGTCTCGTTGGGTTGCGTTTGAAAGGTACGCTCGGAAAAAAAATTTCAGATCTTCTCCATCAACTATGTGTGATCTCCGTGTGAAAGAAGCCGATGATAAGGGAGGGGTCAGCCTCCAGTGAGGAAGACCACAAGAACCACAAGAATCGAGTCGCAGCCAAAACACCGTTATTAACTTTTTTGGCGTTCGGCTGTTGTGGGTTCTGGGTTTTGCAGGTCAGGCTGGAGTCAGATCGGGGCGCGCTAAACTCCTTCGGAGCCGACGCATTCCTAACAGTCCCCGCGTTCCGGCGCGGCCTGTCCAAGGGAACGTGGTCCTGCTGGAGTCCTACAGGGACATACCGGCGCAACACTCCAGCTACAACGTTCTACCAGGTCAGCTGACCACGTCGGCCTCAGACGAGCGAATCTTCTCATTCCCATTTTGACATCATAAAAATAATAATCATTGACCACATGTGGATAGAGCTGATAGCCGGACTCCAGCGCGGTGAGCTAGTTAGCGAGCGAGCTCCTAAGAGGAGGTTGTAAACGTAGCCAGCCGAACGGCGGCAGGACAATGCAGCGGTAGATGACAGGGTAGGACAAGAGAAAAGCTTCCTAAATAAAGCTCGCGCATTCTGCTTTGCATGCAACAAAGCGGCCACCAAGTGCAAGATTAGCAGCATCAATGACAGAGGGGCCACACTTAAAACGGCCACAAACACTCACTTGTTGCCCTGCGAGCTGACTCAGCGGCACTCACGCGCACACACCAACACACACACTTGGTTCCTTTGCTGTTGAAAGGTGCACTTAAGCACGGGGAAGAGATGATGACAGCTTTGTCGGGTCTGATGCAAAAGCACGACGGTTGATAAGAGGACACAATTGCAATAATCAGGCACACAACAACACGACTGCAACATCTCATCAGTGAGCGCCAGTTGGGCATGGAAGGCTGGCGCATGGAACTGGCTCCCTTGTATTGTACTTGATGATGTGAGTGCTGACAAAAGGAGCAGGATACATTTTGGGTCGCCATTGTGTACCACTCACCCTGCTCACAACTGTGAAATTGACGTCAAAGTGCCCTCGGGCTCGCATTGCAAACGTCACCGTTCATCTGTGTTCTGAATTTGTTCACGTGATGTTCACAACGCGAGCCCGAGTGTACTTTCAGGTCAATTCCAGTCGACAACAGGATAAAATGCCAGCCCTCTGAGATGGATGAAAACACATGGATTCATTTTCATTCTTACTCCACAAATGCAATATGAATCCGAATTCTGTTCAAGACAGGATTATGTGTGTTTAGACTATTTGGGCTCATACATCTTCCTGCAAAGACAATTTTACCTGCACAAAAAGCACATTTTGATGTCTCAAGATGCAAGCGTGGTCTCAAAGAAATAAACTTGTATCCCAAGGTACCACTGTGATAAGAAAAAAACAGTTGAATGCGCTCCAGTCATCACACAATTCCAAAAAAGCTTTTCTAATGGTAGCTCCTATTCACGCCCGCCGCCGCCGCCGGGGAGTGCTGCCCCGTCTGCATGGACTCAGGTACTAACGCAATACGTGAGAAGCAGGCCGTGCCGCCGTATCGGGAGCCCAAACGGATGGCGACGCAATCTGTGAGGCCTGGACGATGTGGCTCATGGCTTTGCAAATGTGTGGAGCACATTCAGTCTCACGTGGGGTGGGGGGTGGGGGGGGGGCACGTTCATTAACGTAGCATAAACACTGACACACAACAAGGGTGATGGATGAGGGTGATGAAGATGCGGGTGACATCATCACCACGTGTGCATGCCGGGGTCAAAATGAAAACGCAGTGAAGTAATCAATGAATTAACACTTTCAACTCATAAAACTTGACTAATTATTATTATTCCTCCACATTACGAAATTAAAATGACCTGTATGTTCACGCTTGAAAATTTTGAACATGTTCAAAATGCCCTTGCCGCAAGAAAAGTACAAGCGAACGTCTGGCAAATGTTTGCGACCTTGAGTGAACCCTGCCTGCCAAGACTGCAGCATTCGCTCCCTTTGCATACACTTGCAAACGTTTGCTGCTCGGTGGGATCGGGCCTTAACGGGATTGACATCCTAAGTCTACCTCTGCTGGGCAATTATATGTTTGAGAACCGTGATCGTGATGAATTTCCGGTTGATTACAGTGAGCATATTGATGTGATCAGATGGGTAGCGGCATGCAATTGGGGGGGGGTCTAATTTCACATGTGAGGTGCATGTATGACATGGTTGTCAGTGTATGTGTTGACTGCACATATACATGTTATGTGGGATGTGGCTTGTCTGTCCAGCACACTAACACACAGCTGCCTGTCTGTCCATATCTTGTCTGTCTCCCTGTCTGTCATTCCATCCTCCTCTCATTTTCTTCCTTCCTCCACTTTTTCCCTTCCTGTCTCCCGTCTCTTTTATGCCCTGTGATTGGCCGTTCCCGCCCCCGCCCCCGCCTCAGATCCCGACCTCAGTCTTGAACTTTCTGGTGACTCCCCAGCGCCCCGTAACCGCGACGACCACCATTCCATCACCACCACCCCCCAGCTCAGCCAGGACGAAATCCAGCGCATCCTCTGGCGGGAAGAGGAGGAGCACCTGGAGGAAGAGGAGCGAGTGAGGAAACGAGAGGAGGTAAAGAAGAGGAAGAGGAAGGAGAGGAAGGAGCAGGAGGAAAGGCAGAGGAGGAGAGCGGAGGAGGAGAGGAGGAGGAAAATGGAAGAGGAGAAGAGGAAGGAGGAGAAAGAAGCATGGGAGAGAGAGAAAAAGCTGAGAGAGGAAATACTGAAAGAAGAGGAAGAGGAGGAGGTGTGGTTGAGAGGAGATGTCTTCCAAATGCTCCCCAAAGAAGACGAAGAACCCGAGGAACCCGATCTCCCCCCTGCTCCCATCCCGGGACCTCCTGCTGCCGCAGAGGATGAGGTGAACGAAGAGGAAGAGGAAAAGGAGGTGGCGGCAAAGGAAGGAGGTCTTCCCCCCGGCTGCGACCTCGCCGACGTCACGCTGACTTGTGACAACGCCAGACTGACGTACTTCCCTCCTCTCCTCATGCCACACCTCAAATCTCTGAGCCTGGAAGGTGAGCGTCGCATCTTCTCCCTCGCACCACATCGATGGTGGACATTCACACCCAACAGAAAAAAAGAAAACAAAAGCAAAACGATGTTGGCTGTTATTTATGAGCGTGTTGGACTTTTTATTTCACCGTGCTGCAAATCTATACGATGCAAGTAATTAAAAAAAAACAAAGAAAACGGCGAGTAGCTGCAAGCAAACACGGGTCGATGTCGCGAGTAGCTCTGCCAAGCGTTTGCTTTCATGCTCGAGGTTTTTCGCAGGCAACAACATCAGCAGCATTCCGGCGGAGGCCTTCAACGGCATTCCCAACCTGGAATGGATCAACTTGAAGAAGAACAAACTCACGTCCGCAGGGATCGATCACAGAGCCTTTAAAGTGAGACATGCCAGCGTAGCGAATACGTCATATACCACTGCAATCTTTCTATTTAGCATCGACATATTCCAGAAATTCATTTCCCTGTCAATAAACGCGTGTGTGCGCGCCAGAGTCTGAAGATGCTGCGGCGTCTGTACTTGGACGGGAACCTTCTCGAAGTGGTTCCCGCTGATCTCCCACTGAGCCTGCAGGAGTTGAAAATCAACGAGAATCGACTGCAAAAGATCCACGGAAACACGTTCCAAGGTGATACCGCATCGAACTGTCCGTGGCACTGTCTACTATTATCACTGCGATTTTTTTCGATAGAAATTGAACAAAAGCCAAATTGCTTCCAGCAGAACCTCATGTATCACAATTGTAATTGGAGTAACAAGCATCATCAAGCATTCAGAATTTCAGGGGATCATAATTGACTCCTATCGTATTGCACCTGAAGTCAATCACATCGAATCACATCTTACTGTTGTGAGAATACATCCTGTCACATGGTCATAGAGGTATATCGTTTTGCGGAGTAATTCTAGCGACTCGAATTTGATCTCATTGTCATCGTATTGCAATTGGAGTGAACTGTATTGTTAGTGCAATCAGAGTAAATGGTATCATATCACATTGTACTTGGCATGAATAATCTTGCACGGCATCATAATTGCTCTGAGTTGTATCGTATGGCATCGCACATTTTCAAGTCAATGGAGGGGTGTGGAACTCGACAATGACGTTCGCTATATCGATAGCGCAGGCGTCCTGTAGCGTGTCACTCTACACTTGAGCGTGCTTGCAGGTCTGGCTAGTTTGATGATTCTGGAGCTGGAAGCCAACCTTCTGAGCGAGGCCAACGTGGACCCCGAGGCCTTGGCGCCCCTGGTCCAGCTGTCCTACCTGCGATTAGGACGAAACCTCTTCCGAACGATGCCACAGGGCCTCCCTCCCTTACTCCTGGTACGTGCTCATCTCTGCGTCATCTGCTGCCTTCTGACAAGGCAATTTTCACGGCTAGTCAGAAACATTTTGGAGATTTATGATACAGTGAAAACAGCTCCGACAAACCACAGTGAGATCTGGCAAATAAACTTGACTGACGCCAGAGTGTGGGACGAATGTCTAAAACCAACCCCACTTTTGGTGTCCCCCCCACCCCCCTTTAAACCAGAAGAAATGTACACCAAATGTTGAAATGTACAGAAGAAAATCTGAAAACGCTACTGCTTCCTTCAGGAGTTGTACCTGGAGAACAACCTAATTGAAGAAATCCCGGCAGGCGTCTTCAACCACAGCAAAAACCTCAACGTGCTTTCCCTCAGGCACAACAGGCTGGAAGAGACCAGGATCGCCCCACTGGCCTGGATCCACCACAGGTCTGGCAACGTGTGTGGAATGCTAACCACGATAACAACGGCTACGCTGACATCATCTATACTGTATCAACAAGGCAAAATCAGTACGGATTCCCCTTGGAGTCAGACATCATTTCATACTGGAATGGATCAAATGTTAACATGCTAACCGTCAGTATGCTAAGATTCAGGATGCTAGCACCATGGGAGCACCCTTTATGTTCAAAAAGCTGTGAGGTGGCTAGATTTCACATCGTACCCTTTACTAAAATTCTATTTCACAAAAAGATTGGACAACATGCTGACAAGCTAACAGTCTGAGTGCTGTCATAACAAGATAGCATTTTGACGAAAGAACGAACTTGGTCCTTGTACAGACGTAAGGTTTTTTTCAAATCTTCAAAAATCTGTAAAGTTTGTTTATCACTTGAACGAGTGTTTATCTGTTACAGAACACACATATGAAGATATACATTTTTAAAAAAATCAGGCATTTAACAGTTTTGATCGTACTGTGTGCGGTGTGCTCCGATAACCTCCAAGCCACCACACAAAAGGATTCTGTTCCACCACTGATCTAGAATCTAGTCCTCTGTATCAGACGAAAGATTAATCTTACTAAACATGATAATTTGGCGTTTGTCTTTCCTGCCCAAGATAGACCAATAATGATTTCACATCATGCTCTGTAGTCAGGTACTCTCTCACACAAGAATGGATAAAACACTATGGTGCTAACAGGCAGTATGCTAACATAAAACAAATACAAAATAACATTTTGAATAGCTAAGATGCTAACATGCTAATGGTCAGCATATCTGATGCCTCAGCGGACAGGTGCTCGAGCCAGATATCCAGACTGCTAACATGCTCACGGCTGCAATGCTGAAATACTTCAGGCAGGAAGGAACACAAAGCGCTCAGGCAGAGCCATCAGGAATTCGCATCAAGCCTACTAGTCGGCTAGTGTTTCGATTTTTTCGTTTCACGACCTTCAGCGGCGCATGACTGACGGCTGAGTTATTATTTTTGGCTCGCGTGCTAGCCTGAGTACTTTGTCTTGAGTGAGTGGTAATTTCGAGAGATGTCTTCTGAGCTAAAAAGTCCTCTGCCCTTCACCAGTCGCCATGTTTCCCCGCTGCAGGAGTCTGGAGTCCCTCGACCTTTCCCACAATAGGCTGCACCTGGTGCCGTCGTACTTGCCCAAGTCACTAGTTCACCTCGTGCTGGTGGGGAATCGCATTGAGAGGATACCTGGTGGGTGGACACCACCATATACACTGTACCTGCATAGACAGCGCATACCCTAACCCTGGCTTCAAAACTCCGACCCTATCTTGATATCCTAATCCAGGCTAGAAACCCAAATTTGAAACCCGAACCCCAGCTTCAAACCCCAAACTGTAACCCTTGTTTGAAAGCCTTATTTGGAACACTTAACTGTGGCTTGAAAGCCTATTTTTAAAACCCTAAAGCTTGTTTGAAACGTTAATCCTAATTTTCAACCTTAAATTGAAATCCTAACCGTGGCTTGAAACTAGGTAACACCTTTTTTCAGACCAAAACCAGTACGAGTATCACTCTTGGTGCACTCACCAATACCGAATAACAATAGGTCAAGTACTTTTGATATATAGAATTTCTTTGACCTTCCTTTCTGACGCAGATGATGACTCAGCGATGTGCCAAACTGCCGCAATATAACGCCAACTAATACTGAAGAGGGACTTAGATCATGTCAGACTTTCTTTGCTTAAAGTATCGATGGCTGGTATTGCCATCCTCCACGAGTCTATGATCACTAAAAATAAGGCTGGTATTGGCCCGATACCGGGGCTCAACCATCCCTACTTGAAACCTTGGTTTGAAACACTGACTTGAAAGCATAATCCGGGTTTGAAACCCCAACCGTAGCCTGAGACTCTACTTCAAAACCTCTGATGCGAAAACCCAAATACTAACTCTTGTTTTAAAACCTCTTCGAATCTCAAACATTGGCTTGAAGCCCTACCTCATGTATGACTGAAACCCTGACCGTGGCTTTAAAGATTAATTTGGAAGTTTGTCCTTTGTCTGACAGCATAACTAAGGCAAAATTCCAATGTACCAATCGGACATAATAAATTCTAACACGCTGACGTCCTACTGAATGAAACCAATGATGGAGACAGCCTAACATTTGAAAATGTCCCAAATGGACCTCAGGCTTCGTGTTTGCCCACATGGATCCGGGACTGGAGTACCTGTACCTGTCCTACAACAAACTGGACGGTGAGGGCATCGAACCCGAGTCCTTCTTCGGGTCTTACCACTCCATGGTGGAGCTGTGTCTGGACCACAACCAGCTGCTCAGCATGCCTTCGGGCATCAACGAGATGACCAACTTGCACTTCCTCAGACTCAACAACAACAAGATCAGGTAAGGACGGGACCCTATCCCCATCTTAAGCCTCGTCTTACATTCACCCACCCCGCAAAAATGTCGCCTATCTTCCAGGAGCATTCCCGACGAGGGCATCTGCGATCCGGAGCGCAGCGGCGATTCCATGTTGGTGGCCGTCAGGCTGGAGAACAACTTGATCGACCCGCTCAAGGTTTCCCCCTCGGCGTTCTCCTGTGTGCGCTCGTCGTCAGGCGTGGTCTTAAAACCCCAGAAAACCAAATGACCCCAGCCAACAAACGCCTTTGCAACTGTTCAACGTTTTTTTAAACTAGCGACCACACATGTTGACTTTAAACCCTTCACTGTAATTTGGGGATTTCCGATAAAATTATGTAATTTTGGGTCACGATGGAAAACTGTAGCATCTTTCATACTGGTTGTCCAAGTCTCTTTTTCTTCCCAGTGTCGCCGGTTTGCGTGAAAGGTGTGAAAGATCAGGTCAGGTTTTGGCTTTCTGAGGTACCGCCAGAGGCGCAACAGAGGCAGAACAATGGCTGGCTGTGTGAAAGCTGGCACAGGGGTGAAGCCTGGGGAGTTTAACACCCGACACTCACCTTTACTGCTCCGCTGTCACTGTCAAACAAGTAGGATTTTGTCGCTGTTACACTTCATTTGCTTCTAGCAGTAGACTTTGCGTGAAAGAGACAAATATGAATACATTAATATATATTTACAGAAAATATGTTCACATTTAACAAAAGCAACTTCATCAAGGGGGAAAATTAAGAGTAGACCTCAATTGACACGGCCTGTTTTGTAGGACGGTCGTGTGAAAGCACCCAAAGTCGGTGACATTTTCACACAAAACAAAACAAAGCAAGATACTGGCACAGGACTGTGTGAGGCTCCAATTTTTACGTAAATTCTGCGTGAAAGGGGTTGTTGCCATGTAACACAAATGCTGGCTGCAATTTGTGTATAAACTTTGTGTGAAATAGGCAAAAATTTACAGCCGACCAAATGAGCGGCACCAACTGTGTTGCCTGTGCAGGACTGTTTGCAGCTCCAATTTGTTGCATAAACTCAGTCAGACAGAAACTACCATTTAACACTGTACCAAATGGGAAGGAAAACTTTAACTGGCTGGGTTCTGCGTGAAACACGACCGCCTGGTCCAATTTTCAGGTAAATTGTGAATGAGGGAAAAATGTACACAACCAAAGTCTGATTCAAACAGATGAAAGTTTGGTAGCGCGAAAGCAACCCAGGTCAGTCGCTCCTTTCACACAGCCATGAGTACCTGTTCTTTTTTTTTTTCCTCTCAATTTTCACATAGCTGTTGTCGCCTCAATAAGACCTCACCACTTGATGATGGTGCCATTCGCACCAAACAGTGAAACATGGGGGGGGGGGGGGGGGGGGCATAAAACTCTTGAATAAACAGCACAAAAGGGTCTACGTACTGCTGTTGAGCGGGGATCACAGAGCGCACATTTGTAGTGTATTTTGTTGTCGACATTTTCAAGTCTGAGGGAACTGCCAAATATTTTCCCAAGAAACACATTCAACATTATGTCAGCGGCTTGCATTGTCCTCATTTGCACTCGTTAGCATTAGCTAAGCTAACAGTGATTGTTTTTGGTCTCTTGACTGCAAGTCGCCCACCCTTGAATCTTATGTCGCACACACAAACTATGCCGGAGCCAACTTTATTGTCACATTTTCCAGCGACAGCCCGCCCTTTTCACTTTTATCGAAAATCACACGGTGGCAGCCACATCAAAACAATTCAATGGAAGAAAAAGTGAGAGAGAGCAAAAAAAACATTTGAAGACAATTAGTAGCCTACAAGACTTCCCCTCCGTGAACGCCAGATAACTGAGCGCAGATGAAAAGTCGTCGTGTAGCGATGAAATGCGCTTGACGGCTCGGATTACATTTCAATAAAGTCAATAAACGATTTTGTTTGAGTTCAGGACAAAAACATCCAATGACCCTGCAAAACTTTGCATTTTCGGCCTCCAAAATGACATCACTTGAAAAAGTGAGAGAGAGCAAAAAAACATTTGAAGACAATTAGTTGCCTACAAGACTTCCCCTCCGTGAACGCCACATAACTGAGCACAGATGAAAAGTCGTCGTGTAGCGATGAAATGCGCTTGGCGGCTCGGATTACATTTCAATAAAGTCAATAAACGATTTTGTTTGAGTTCAGGACAAAAACATCCAATGACCCTGCAAAACTTTGCATTTTCGGCCTCCAAAATGACATCACTTGGATGAAAAGACAACAGACACCTTTGAAAAAGAATTCTCAAGCTTTCACAGGGTTGCGTCACAAGCTCCAAAAGTAGAGGTGCAACGGTTAATCAGCAACGAATAAATCATCAGTTGAATCCAAAACTACTTGACTCATCGATTCATCATTTCAAGCCATCGTTTGAGTTAAAATTGTCCAAAGCCTCAGCAAATATTGTGATTTCTGTAGTCCTCCATGAAAGCAGACCATAATAAATTTATGTTTGTCCACTTTCTGCACTGTCAATTTGAAATGTTTTTCAAAAAAGGGATAGAAATTACAAAATGTTTTTTTCATCCGATTCGAGGAATGTCAATGGCAATAAATGTAAAATGTGAATGTTCTGAACTCCTGATTCAATGTCAGTACGATTCGAGGAATGTCAATGGCAATAAATGACTGGAATTCTAAGTGACGGATATAAACATGCACGGCAGGGAATGAGTTAAAGGAAATTAAAAATCAAATGTTTTATTGGAAAAAAAAATGTGTTCTATACATGCTCATGAAGGGGTGATAAATTGTTAAGAGTGCGCAGTTTCCAAAAATTTCCCAAGTTAATTTTAGGCCACAAATGTCGTTTTGGGCAGCTTTTATTTGGTAAATTGTTGGAGTGTTGGGGCAATCCCTGGAATAAGGAAAGAGAATGTGAATGTTCTGAACTCCTGATTCAATGTCAGTCCTGTAAATGATCAAAATAATGCTGACATAAAAGGACCAGGGGCCGTATTTTGCCCACTCCAGATCTCTGGGGGAAAAAAAATGAGGTTTCCCGGGTAACGGTTCAAACTTTGCGTCCTGGCAAAACTTTGTCAACGCTTCCTCACTGCACACAGCGCCAGCCAGCCCAAACGCGGGGCTCTGTTTCGCCAGACTTGGAAAGACTGAGCGCCTGCGAGAGACACGCCGACTCCAAGCGGGATGGCGGAGCCTTCTCCCTCCTCCCGCTCCATCGGGAAATAATTTCTCACGTGGAAATGCCGCTACTGCTGTGGCAAACCAGGAGAATGATAAGAATGAATGATGTCACGCTCCAAGAAGGCCAAGACCGACCGATGGCTGTCAAAATACACGTTGCATTTCTCCCGAATCACATGTGAGCGGTTCAACGCGGCCCTTCGTAACCGCAATAAACATTCTGACAGACGCGGGCGATACACGCGTGGGTGGACGGAAGCTGTCGACCGCTACGTGAGCTCAGCTTGTCACTTGCCATCAAAAATTGCGTGGGTTGCGTGTCCTCTATTTTCACACGATTCAAAGACAAGTGCATAAATATTGCAACATGGACAGTTTTTCGGCTCTAAACATCACCACTGCAATGGAACTGAAATGAAACAAACAGGATCTGCTTTAACTGCAAATAATTCAGCTTGAATTTGAGGCTATTTACATCCCAATCAAGGACACAGATGAAGGAATTACAAGTCATATTTGCTGGCAAAAATGTTTCGGCTTTCATGATGTTGAAAAACAAAGTTTTGGATTTTTTTTTTTTTTGTGAAACACTGTTTCCGTGGCAACGCGCTGTTTTCCAAGAAAACACTGCTGACTGTGAGGATCTAACACAAGAAACTTCAGGCCTGCCAAAATCATCAATATCGTATTAGTTCATTCTGCACTTTTTTTTGAACTCAGTAGCGTCCCCTACAAAGTGTTAACGAAGCAACCCTGGGAGTACGTTTCACCTAGATCTACATAAAGTTGGAGGTAAATGTATTAAATAAGATAATAGATCAATAAAAACCAGTGTGTTTTTGTGAAAGCAACCCATGCTTTAGGTAGCTCTTAGGTAGCCTGGTGCTTATGTTGTCACAGAACACAATATTGTGTTGGTCCCGAAAAATCCATCAAAACGCTCTAAAATGGTCGTGAGTCACTGAAAGGCTTTGTGACAGTGACACTTCAGAACCGATAATTGCTGATATAATGATCCGAATGCATATTTGTGTAGTGTGGACGATTGTAAGGACAGAGAGTTTGTTGGGTTAAAAAAAAAACTGTAAAGGAATGTTTCTATTTGACATGCTACTGGGAGACATACAGGATTACAAAACGCTGCTCTTTTCAAGTGCGTACATCATGTACGTGACAAAGACACTGACATGTGGAAACATTTTCCTTTTTTTGCAATAAAACAAGCAGAGCCAACGCCAGCAGATAAAGCGCCGCTCTTGTAGCCATTCGAGTCAGAAGATACGAAAGGAGATGGAATTTGCCAGCATCACATCAGGCTCTCATTAGATGATGTTTGGGAAAATTGCATCCTTTAACCTTGGAATCGGTCACGAGCCAAATAGTCTCCTGAGGTATCAAACTGCTGTGAGTGGAGCCTCAAGTCAAACACTTCATCATCATCATCATCATTATTATCGTCGTCATCATCATTGTCGTCGTCACGGTGTCACGGGTGGAGCAAGATTTGCACTCATTATGTGATTATCTACCATCAATCAAAGAGGAAATGCAGGGGTGTAGACCGCATCAGTCAACTCCAAATTGTTTATGATCATGTACTGAATGTGTGTCAAAGTGAGAAGAAGAAAAACAACAACAACAACAACAACAAAATTGTTTTCCAAACATAACTGTTTCAGAAATATGTATTGTAGACGATGTCAAAATTCCTCCAAAGGGAAGAAAATCAAAACATTGGAATTCAAATCATGACACGTCAGGAAAACTAGACTTCACATCCAGGAACAGGCGCAAGAGATCAAATAAAATGTACAATATTTTCCCCACAAAAATCAGATATCCCGTTTTAGTTACATTTTTTTTCACTGAAGTCAGATTTGAATTTTTCCGCAGTAACCTGATTTCTAATCAGAATCCCCTCCCTCCCCCAGATTTCCGGTTTGTTGCAGTGGTAGAGTGGTCGTTTCCCAACCCAAAGGTCGGTGGTTCGATCTGCGACAATTTGAAGGTGTCCTTGAGCAAGATACGGAATGAGTGAATGGGTGAATGAGGTAACAGTGTAAAGCGCTTGAGTACACGAGGTAGGAAAGCGTTATATAAGTGACAGCCCACTTGCCACAAACGATTTTTGTCACAAAAATCGGGTTTCCAATTTTTTGGGTCACAAAATCACATTTCTGATGTCATTTTTTTTTTCCAAACTCAGATTTCCAGTTTTAAATCCACAGATTTTGAATTCAGTTTTTTTCAGCATTCACGTGCAATTTCTCCAGAAATTGCATCTACTTACTAATAAAGGCACTCTTCACCTTACACCATTTCCTATGGGAGGAAAAAGAAAAACAACCGGGTAGAATTAGACTTGTTGCGTGTGTTGGTAATGATGATTCATTCGTCACTCTGCGCAGAGACACGCCTATGGATTTAGTGGCTTGGCCTTAATTGCTACACAGACTTGAGGATGATGCTAACTTCCTGGACCGTCCTCTTATTTGCCCTGCAAACCTTGACGGGCATTTTGGCAGCAAGTAGCCATTCCCATCACACACCACTGCCTGGCTCACTAACGCTTGTCCTGTCCTATCTGCTGCATGTTGGGTCTCTTCCTCACAAGCCGCTCAACTAATTTAAACATGAAATCAACCCCTGTTCATTCCAGACCCGCCCGCAATATACCGGTACTGAAAGTGAAAATCCGCGAGAGACCACATAGTATATATATATTCCTTGGAGCCTGTTTTCACTCTCCTAACGTCAAGAAATGAGAGATGATAATATAACGTCACTTTGAGAAATTGAAAGGAAAGACTGGCACGCACCTTTTCACCATCTGTTCATTTCATACATATTTAACCGATTGAAAATCTTGAAAATAGCCCAAGAGCAAATCTATGAAGTCTTAAACACTCAAACTTCCCTTTGCGGAAGCTGTGTGTCTTTCTGTCACCTCAAGATTTAAAGTCCGGTTGTTGTTGTTGTTGTTTTAAATGAGTGAAAAGAGTTCAGGAAGAGACAGTAAGTCAGTTTTGTTAAAAAAAACAAAAAACAAAAAAAGGGAGACTGAAATGTTTCACAGCAAAGGGAATTGGTCAACCATGGAGTCAAGTTTGCGTGCAGATTCCTTGTCGCTGCAGATTCATTGATGCAATAAATAAAGTTCATTGTTTTATTTATTGCATCACTCATGGCTCTGAGAGCTTTGAAAAACACTTTGGGGAGATGTAACGATACTCTTTTGCTTTTGAGACGTGTTAAAGGCTTTTTGACTTGCCTGTAAAAGAAACAACAACAACAACAAATAGCCTTGTTGTAATGTTATGCTACTGCCACCCACGTGTTGTTTCTCAGCTGCGCTGTGAAAGCTCCACTGCTCCTCTCATGCTACATCTGTCAAAGAGATTACGTGAAGGGGTGAGACAACGTCTTGTGTACAGCTCCACGATCCTCTCAAAGACCATTCCAGATGCTCCCTTTCCTAGTGCCGAGGTCCTATTCAGGTACACGACACACCTCGGACCGGTGGCCGGGCCGTCGCAGTCGAGGCTTGCGTTGAGCGTGAACGAATGCCGCCGCGCCGGCCACACAAAGGCAGACGTGAATCACGATGTGCGTCAAGAAGAAACTAGGGAATATTGCAAAACACAACAAGATGGAAACTAACAAAGCAAACGACAATAAGCGCGAGTTTCCGCTGAATAAGTGCCCGGAGATCGGTTGGCAACCAGTCCATTGTATTTCTGTCTGACTGCTGATAAGCAAGGTTATGATCGTGAACGAAAATCAACAAAAATAACTGAATCTAAAATTGAAAAAATCTTGAACATTTTCCATCCATCTAGTATCTAACCTGCTTATCCTCACGAGAGTCGTCTTTGGGCAGTTGGTGGTGTAGACCCTGAACTAGTTGCTCGCCAATCGCGAGGCACGACCATTCACACTCACTATCACGCCTACGAACAATTCACGCACAGTGCGGTCGAACTGTACGCAAGGGTGGAGCTTTCTTTCAACACGCCGTTGTGGGAGTGAACACAGTAGGAGTTTAACCAGCCCTCTCCCCATCCCACGACCATGATTCGGAGGATTCGATGCCCGCTTTTATCACATTTATGAATGAAATATGATGACAGCCACCACACACATCGCCAGACCTCAGAATCTGTCTGCCCGCACCTCGTTCAAATTCACCCAAATCACGTACCATCTGCAACTTAGACCTGCTCTGAACTGATCTGAGGTCATATCTACTTTGAGTCACCATATTGTCAGGTGCATCAAGGGCGGGTAAAAGAAAACATCCCTTGGTCCGCCGGAACATCCAGTATGTCGCAGAGTAAGCTGCCAAATTCCCAAACACGCTGAATGAGGCATGCACCAACACAGAAATCAAGATGCGGCTGTTTTTATGCCGAGCGCAGGTGCGCCGAGTCTTGTGTGACAACCAGTCCATTGATTGTCAAAAAGTGCTCAGAACTGACAGCCAAGTGGTCTACTAATGGTCTTCGGGTCTGCCCTGACCTTGACTGGCAACCTGTTCCTTTTTTGTTTGCATGTGCAATGCCACGGGCTGGAAAAAGTTATGAAATGAGAACAATTTGGAAGTCAACCGGTGGCGCACACCGCCGCACATTTTCCCAAATTTCTTGCAAAAGTGGAAGTTTCATGGAAACGGGTAAGTGGATCTCAAGCGTTTCTCCTGAGATGATCTCAGAAGCCTCGGAAAGTATGACTGCCCACCGACCCCCCCAGCGAGAAGAAAGCAGTGCAAAAAAGCTGAGCTTCCCTTTTGGCTTCTTCTTCTTGTGAGTGCCAAACCAGGGGCACATGTGCTCCGTCTAGCGACGCCTCGGGGCCGTGCCTCGGGTAAGGGGTGGCGTGGGGTGGGGGGTGGGGGTGATTACGCTCCAGCTGGCCTCAGCAGAAAAGAGAGGCACAGAATCAAGGGGGATGGAAAAAGGGAAACAGGCGCACGTGAGGCGCAGACGAAAGACGACCCGCTTTGCTTGCTTTTTCGACCCCCTTTAAAGCATCAAATGTACAGCTGTGCGGTGTGGCTGAACCTTGTACAGCCCAATGGTTTTGCGACATACAATGCTGCTGTTCACATTCACTTTCGTGTATGGACCGTATCCATTGTATCTCTTTATTTTAGACTACTACTCTCCAGCCTGTTAAATGATATTTGTTATCATGTCATGTGCAATGCCGCTGATTATAATATAGGAACTATAATTGGTCTAGTTTTTTTGATACATAAAATACTACCGACCGTCATTGCTGCTTTTCACATTCACGTTTGTGTATATGCAATACCTAGAGTATGTATAGACCAGGGGTCGGCAACCCAAAATGTTGAAAGAGCCATATTGGACCAACCCCCCCCCCCCAAAAAAAAATATGTCTAGAGCCACAAAAAAATTAAAAGCCTTATAATGAAGGCAACACACGCTGTATGTTTCTATATTAGGTATATTAGCCTACTAACAAAATGACTACGTTGGCGACAAATACACAATGAGCCTTGATGGTTTTTTTCCCTTAAGAATGTTTGTGTCATGTTTTGTCCTCCTACAGAAACCAGAGTAAAACAAAAAATATATTTCCCTCCCCTATCTTTTTCCATTTCCAAACATTTTTGAAAAAACTCTCAGGGAGCCCTTTAGGCGGCGCTAAAGGGCCGCGTGCGGCTCTCGAGGTGCAGACCCAGTGTCGGCTATTTGATATTCGTTGATACTGTACATTTGTAGGACTTTTATTTTTGGTTATACGTGTTCAGGCAATCATTTCGATTTTTTTTTCAAAAATCGATGATTCTGCTCAGTTGTAAGTATGTACATAGATAGTTTTAGATTTTGTCTTTTGTGCTACGGCTGTTGTAAAACCGGAGTTTCCCCATGTCGGCCTAATGAAGGTTCACTCAATTTGATTTTTCAATAGGCAGTTTTTTTTTTTTGTTTGTTGATCTAAATGACCAAAAGGGACTGCCGCCCAGGGGATCTTTTATGCTGACAATCTCAAGGCGGTGGAAGCAGGAGCGCCACCAGCGGCCCTTTTAGTTTAGTGCGTTAACTCGCCTGGCAAGGCTTCAAAAGGGCAGCTCATATTCTCAGATGCTGTGATGACAGAAAGGCTCTGGTGTCAGGGTGAGGAGACCACAGCTCGCAGCAGTGGGGGTGTTCTCCAAGTTTTTCTTTTTCTTTTTTTTTTTCTTGTCCTTGCTGCTGAGACAAGGGGGGATGCTGTTCTCTGCGCTGACTTGGGCTGCATCCCTTAGTCGTGTGTAGCGGAAAGTGTGCTGCTGCTGCTGCTGCGCTCGCTGCCTGGGCTTTAATCGAGGACAAAAAGCCACTGACGGATAAGGTAGGACGACAACCGGTGTGTTTTTTTTTTCATGACATTTTTAAGTGTGGTTTGGGTTAAACTGCGGTTCAACAGAGGACCCAGAAGTCGCCTGAAAACTGGTAGTCTTTATTAGACAAGATGTAGAAGCAACTTGCCTCAATCTACAACATGACCGATTTGGCAGTTTGTAGATGCGGATAAAAGAACCTTCTTTTAAGGGAACAAAGACGCCTCCATTCGTTTTGAGCTCATTTCGTCGACGTAACAAGGAAATAATTGGCAATGACAGGAATTGGGTGGTGGTTGTGGTGGTTTTAAACTGTTCCAAGTCAGAACGCATTAAAGCCGACAAGAGCGGCGATTGAGGCTGGAGACATCATTAGGGTTGAAGTGTTTAATGAGGTCATGGACCCAACCAGTTCACACGCACTTAAAGGCAAGTTTTATTTGATTTCTTCTCTTGGCTTGTCTTATTGTGTACACGCCAAAACACAAACAAAAATCTCTCCAGAATACAATAAGCACACATGATGAATTCCCCATTGAATTAAATCATGAAAAACCAAGCTCGCCTGTGCTAATAACTTCTGAAAGTTTCTCAAAGTGTGGTACTCGACCCGTCCTTGGTCCCCCAAGGAACCTCAAAATGTTCTGTCTGTTAGATTTTATCGTCACTTGCTGTTAATAGGGAAAAAAAAAACTTTACCATTAATGAGGAAGGAAACCACAATAAACATGCCGAATCATGACTGGTGGGCTTTTTTTTTTTTTTAAATCTGGATTCTTGACTTGGGTTCTCCATTTGGAACAGATTTTCTTGGGAATTTTCCATACATTTTTGAGTGGTTCAAATTCAGAAGTTCCCAAATAGCAGTTTGTTTGTTTATTTATTTGTGTTGAATGGTCCTTTTTGAGGAACAATTTTGAGAAATGCTGATCTGAAAGAATCGTACATGCCATTTATAAAGGTGTTCTGTTGGTCGGAGCTATTAATTTATTTCCTGAAAATGGACACCTTTGAAAAGATTACAGTGAACCTAGTGAAAAAAAAAAATCCATCGCGTTCTGGACATGTGCTCTCCTTTTGGACCAAATTTTGCTTGGAAATTTCTGAGTTGTTTGCATTTCTGAGGGATCAGAGTGGATATTTTATGGCTTTTACGAATGAGAAGTCTGAAAGAACAATCAGTGGTGTTTATCGACGAGACACGTATTTGGTCTTTATGGATTCAGTCAATCGGATTTCCCAAGTTCCAAGATTTTTCGGACAATTTACGAGTTGTTCAAGATCCAATGGTTCCAAATAAGTGGTGGCTGGGTTTTATTCACCGGTCCTTTCTTGATGACTTTTTTAATAGCCTAGTCTTAGAGCTTACACCACACATTGAAAAACAAAACCCAAGGAAAATACGATAAAAACGGAACTGTGATTGTCCTTGGATTTTTAAGGCAATTTCAAAGATATTCAATGTTGTAAGGGTTGAGAACATTTGGTGGTGGTAGTTTTTTTTTATTGATTGGTCCTTTTTTTGAGACTAAAGAAAGAGTATAGAGTAAACAAAGAAATCAAGGAAAATGCACCCAGATGCAAATACAGACTTGGGGCTGTTTTGATGACTCTTGTTTTCTTTTTAAACCAAAATTTCCTTGCATTTTTCAAACAATATCAGATTTTTTTTTGGTTCGCATGTTCTCCTTTGGAACCGCGCCCCCCCAAAAAAAAATATGTCTAGAGCCACAAAAAAATTAAAAGCCTTATAATGAAGGCAACACACGCTGTATGTTTCTATATTAGGTATATTAGCCTACTAACAAAATGACTACGTTGGCGACAAATACACAATGAGCCTTGATGGTTTTTTTCCCTTAAGAATGTTTGTGTCATGTTTTGTCCTCCTACAGAAACCAGAGTAAAACAAAAAATATATTTCCCTCCCCTATCTTTTTCCATTTCCAAACATTTTTGAAAAAACTCTCAGGGAGCCCTTTAGGCGGCGCTAAAGGGCCGCGTGCGGCTCTCGAGCCGCGGGGTGCAGACCCCCAGTGTCGGCTATTTGATATTCGTTGATACTGTACATTTGTAGGACTTTTATTTTTGGTTATTCGTGTTCAGGCAATCATTTCGATTTTTTTTCAAAAATCGATGACTCTGCTCAGTTGTAAGTATGTACATAGATAGTTTTAGATTTTGTCTTTTGTGCTACGGCTGTTGTAAAACCGGAGTTTCCCCATGTCGGCCTAATGAAGGTTCACTCAATTTGATTTTTCAATAGGCAGTTTTTTTTTTTTGTTTGTTGATCTAAATGACCAAAAGGGACTGCCGCCCAGGGGATCTTTTATGCTGACAATCTCAAGGCGGTGGAAGCAGGAGCGCCACCAGCGGCCCTTTTAGTTTAGTGCGTTAACTCGCCTGGCAAGGCTTCAAAAGGGCAGCTCATATTCTCAGATGCTGTGATGACAGAAAGGCTCTGGTGTCAGGGTGAGGAGACCACAGCTCGCAGCAGTGGGGGTGTTCTCCAAGTTTTTCTTTTTCTTTTTTTTTTTCTTGTCCTTGCTGCTGAGACAAGGGGGGATGCTGTTCTCTGCGCTGACTTGGGCTGCATCCCTTAGTCGTGTGTAGCGGAAAGTGTGCTGCTGCTGCTGCTGCGCTCGCTGCCTGGGCTTTAATCGAGGACAAAAAGCCACTGACGGATAAGGTAGGACGACAACCGGTGTGTTTTTTTTTTCATGACATTTTTAAGTGTGGTTTGGGTTAAACTGCGGTTCAACAGAGGACCCAGAAGTCGCCTGAAAACTGGTAGTCTTTATTAGACAAGATGTAGAAGCAACTTGCCTCAATCTACAACATGACCGATTTGGCAGTTTGTAGATGCGGATAAAAGAACCTTCTTTTAAGGGAACAAAGACGCCTCCATTCGTTTTGAGCTCATTTCGTCGACGTAACAAGGAAATAATTGGCAATGACAGGAATTGGGTGGTGGTTGTGGTGGTTTTAAACTGTTCCAAGTCAGAACGCATTAAAGCCGACAAGAGCGGCGATTGAGGCTGGAGACATCATTAGGGTTGAAGTGTTTAATGAGGTCATGGACCCAACCAGTTCACACGCACTTAAAGGCAAGTTTTATTTGATTTCTTCTCTTGGCTTGTCTTATTGTGTACACGCCAAAACACAAACAAAAATCTCTCCAGAATACAATAAGCACACATGATGAATTCCCCATTGAATTAAATCATGAAAAACCAAGCTCGCCTGTGCTAATAACTTCTGAAAGTTTCTCAAAGTGTGGTACTCGACCCGTCCTTGGTCCCCCAAGGAACCTCAAAATGTTCTGTCTGTTAGATTTTATCGTCACTTGCTGTTAATAGGGAAAAAAAAAACTTTACCATTAATGAGGAAGGAAACCACAATAAACATGCCGAATCATGACTGGTGGGCTTTTTTTTTTTTTTAAATCTGGATTCTTGACTTGGGTTCTCCATTTGGAACAGATTTTCTTGGGAATTTTCCATACATTTTTGAGTGGTTCAAATTCAGAAGTTCCCAAATAGCAGTTTGTTTGTTTATTTATTTGTGTTGAATGGTCCTTTTTGAGGAACAATTTTGAGAAATGCTGATCTGAAAGAATCGTACATGCCATTTATAAAGGTGTTCTGTTGGTCGGAGCTATTAATTTATTTCCTGAAAATGGACACCTTTGAAAAGATTACAGTGAACCTAGTGAAAAAAAAAAATCCATCGCGTTCTGGACATGTGCTCTCCTTTTGGACCAAATTTTGCTTGGAAATTTCTGAGTTGTTTGCATTTCTGAGGGATCAGAGTGGATATTTTATGGCTTTTACGAATGAGAAGTCTGAAAGAACAATCAGTGGTGTTTATCGACGAGACACGTATTTGGTCTTTATGGATTCAGTCAATCGGATTTCCCAAGTTCCAAGATTTTTCGGACAATTTACGAGTTGTTCAAGATCCAATGGTTCCAAATAAGTGGTGGCTGGGTTTTATTCACCGGTCCTTTCTTGATGACTTTTTTAATAGCCTAGTCTTAGAGCTTACACCACACATTGAAAAACAAAACCCAAGGAAAATACGATAAAAACGGAACTGTGATTGTCCTTGGATTTTTAAGGCAATTTCAAAGATATTCAATGTTGTAAGGGTTGAGAACATTTGGTGGTGGTAGTTTTTTTTTATTGATTGGTCCTTTTTTTGAGACTAAAGAAAGAGTATAGAGTAAACAAAGAAATCAAGGAAAATGCACCCAGATGCAAATACAGACTTGGGGCTGTTTTGATGACTCTTGTTTTCTTTTTAAACCAAAATTTCCTTGCATTTTTCAAACAATATCAGATTTTTTTTTGGTTCGCATGTTCTCCTTTGGAACCGCGTTTCGGGAGGTAATTTTCCGCCAATTTGCGAGATATTCAAATTCCGAGGTTTGCAATTTTGTGGCGGTAGCAGGCTTTTATTGATTTGTCTTTTTGGAGCCATGTGAAAGAAGAGTATACAGGCTGGACCGGAGGCTGTTTTTTGTCAATTTCTGGAATCTTGTTTTCCTTTTGGGCCAGAGTTTCCCTTCAACTTTCCAAAAATATTTAAGTTGTTAAAGTTCTGACTGAGGGACGCTGGTCCGAATGAATCCGACAGAACAGTATGTACACTCACAGCAGGATAGCGAAGGGTCGCTCTTTTCCTGCTGCTGCAGCAGCAGCAGCAGCACATTTTTGTGGGCAGACCCAACACTCGGCAGCCCAGAGAATCCATTAAGATTAGCCCAGACGCGGCGGGCGGACAATGTCAGGGTCTCAGCGGGCAGCGTCAGTGTTTCATAGAGGGGAGTCCCATAAATCACCCCTGCGGCGAATAGGTAGGAGCATGGCAAACATTTGCCTTGGCTGCCGGCACCACTCATTTCCAACCGGAGTCCTTAGACAAGCACGGAAACAATGACAACAACGTTTGCTTGCGCTGCAAAGCATCCGTTTTTTTTTTAACTTTTCGTGTCTAACTTGGAAGTGCAATATTCAAACTAAATATGGCAAGAGCGAGCTGCTAATCAGGCATCATAAAACAAATAACAGTCCTCCGCCAAGGTTAACAAAAGCAGGGGGGCAAAAATGCTTTATTCGTTTGCGCGACCGCACGCAGCAGATTCGACAGGACACGATCAAGGCAACGGAGGCGTGGCGGGAGGGGGAGTCTCGGGTCACATGACTGAACTCGTCACACTCGATTTCTATTGTTTGTGTGATACATTGCTTATCTGTAGAACACATGTGGCAATATTCAACCCGAATGTCACTCTCTGCTCACCATGCAAACCACCGCCCTCGCTCTCAGTTGCAGCTGTTTTGTCAACCTCTCTATTCCCAAAGTTCGCACTGCTTTTAGTCGATCGTTTCTAGAAAAGTACACAACAAATAATTGACGAATTCACCCCATTCGTCCCAATATCTCCATTTTTAAAAAGTTAGCAAGCCTGTTTTGAAGGTTTTATGTGCTATGATGTAACGTTATAAGTAACTGTATTGCAATAGCATACATAATTTGTTGTCGATTTGTTTGCTCATTTTGCTTTTTTTTTTTTTTTTTTTTTTTTTTATGTACTACGTAACTGTATTGCAATAACATACATAATTTGTTGTCGATTTATTTGCTCATTTTGCTTTTTTTTTTTTTTAACTCAGCTGTCTGTTGACAGGTCGCCACTGCAAATGAAGATTAAAATAAAGGTTTCATAAAAAGTCACCCGTTTTAGGACTTGCTTGGTTGAAACGACAAAAGACTCAGCCTGACTTTGACTTGAACTACCTGATTTGACGATTCAGGAAGCAACATCTGAAAATAGTTACATGTTATCATCACCTTTTAAAGTTTGAGTAGCTTGTAAGTTGTCGTGCTTGTGACATCGCTTCGACCTTTGAAAGGCACATTTAAGGATGACGTAAGCCTGTCTTGTGTTGGATTTGTAGCATTGTTAACACTTTTTAAACGGGGATGTAAGGACCACGTAGCTTGGAATGTGAATTTTAGGAATTGAGTAACTTGCGTCCTGTTGAATTTGTGGCAGTTTTAAGTCCTTTCAATTGTAGATTTAAGGATTCAGTCTTTTTTTTTAATGCTGTTCAATATATTTGTCTTACAAGTCAGGCCTTTGAACGGCGGATTGAATACGTCAGTCACTTGTCCGAAGTTGTACTTGTAGCATTTAGGAATTACGTAGCTTGTATTGGGTTGTTACCATGTAAGAAGCCAACAAATGCTTTTTTGGGTGCATGGTGAATATGAAATGCAGCTAGATTGTCAAGGTAAATAAAGAAGGGAGCACTTGAGGCCGGTCCTCCACAAGCCAAACGACTCATTTGTCATGTTATTTCCTTCCAGCCAGGCTAAGATAACACTAATCGCTGGTCCGGCCGCACCATGAGGGTGGCCCTTCTGCTCTGTATGCTGACACTGGGCAGCAGCAAATACTACCAGCACGTCGACGTCATGGACATCATGAGAAACTACGACGTCATGATGGCTGATTCCGATGACGACGACGATGACAATAATAACAACTACGACGATCAATACGACAGCTGTCCCTTGGGCTGCCATTGCTCACCCAGAGTGGTACAGTGCTCTGATCAAGGTAAGAATGCTGGCCCAGTCACGTGACTCTTAAAAACAGAGCACTTGATGTCATGGATTGGAAGGATGGATAGAAGCTCCTGGAGCCTCCACAAGGTGTGATGAGAAGTCTGACCAGACTACAGAAGGTTCAGCATGTCGTGTACTTGTTAGGAAGAGTTGCAAATACAGAAAGGACAGACCGTATTTTGTATTCTGTAAGGCGCTTTGGAGTCGAAGGCGCACCTTCAATGAATGGCCCATTTTAAAACCGTCTTCATATGTAAGGCGTACCGCATTTTAGGCACATAGAATAGAAGCTACAATAGTGGCTGTGGTTGCATCATGCATCCACTAGATGGAGCTACACTAAGAGGAATACAATACAATACAGCCTTCACAATCGCTGCAGCTGTAAGAAGGTACTTGACATAACATTTAAAATACTACATTTAAGAAATCAGAATATTGATCATATATATCGGATTATATGGCGCACTGTCGGCTTTTGAGAAAATTGAATGCTTTTAGGCGTGCCTTATAGTGCGGAAAATACGGTAAATGAAATGCAATTGCAGTGAACCCTCACTATTTGAGCGGGTTAGACACTCAGACCTGATGCAAATAGTCTGAATTCAAAAGTACTAATTTTATTCATCATTTCCTGCATTCATAGTTTCAACCCTAAATATATCCCAAACTAGGATCCAAAAGAACATACCTAATATTTAAAACTCATCTTACAACATTACGCTTTTAGAAATGATTCCCGACTGATACCTGGGCCATGCGTTAAGAAAATGGAGAAAAGAGCGCATCCAACTGCTACGTTAGCATAACAGCACAAGGATGATGTAATAGATGATGTTGTTTCGTGACTGTCTCTGTCTCTGAACTGCAGCAACAGCTGGAATCCAATACCACAAACATCAAAATAACAATAGAACCCATAGAGGGTTTGTTGTTATCTTACATATCGTAAAACAGCAAAGCTCCATTTGTGACCTTTCAAAGAGGGAAAATTGATCTTTGTCAAATGCGTGCATATATGTGTGTGTGTGTGTGTGTGTGTGTGTGTGTGTGTGTGTGTGCATAAATAAAAGCCAAAAGTCATTTGCATTGCCAAGTTCTAATCAGTTGCTTCCCGTATCCAACGTTGAGTAGGGAGCTGTGAGCAGCCACCATTTGTAGCAAATATAAAACAATTCCTGGAATGATTACGTGGAATTAAAAGCAAAAGACAAAAAGTTCCACTTTTCACAAAAAGATATCACACATTTGATGTGACGACACCGACAGGTCTGATCAACGTGCCAGCCAAGCTTCCGAGTGACATCTTGATGATCGACCTCCAAAACAACGACATCACCCAGATCAAGGAAAACGACTTCAAAGGCCTGGACAAGCTTTATGTGAGAGCAATACACAACAAGCAGGCCGATTGAGCATTTAGTGAGCATTGATTGCGCGTCCCTGCTTACGGTACTTGTACTGGTCTGTTCTTTTGTCTTCACTGCCTAAAAGACAATTCGACAGTCTTACTAGTATGTGCCCTCGTGGTTTTTCTTGGGAGCTGAATTGTCGTATTAGCTGGAATGTGCATAAACGGCTTTCCATAGAAACACGTGGCGAATCGGGAAAAACAAAGCCATCTGAAAAGTTTCATCGGCTCTGTCGGAAGAAACTGTCTTACTAGTATGTGCCCTCGTGGTTTTGCTTGGGTGCTGAAATGTCGTATTAGCTGGAATGTGCTTAAACGGCTTTCCATAGAAACACGTGGCGAATCGGGAAAAACAAAGCCATCTGAAAAGTTTCATCGGCTCTGTCGGAAGAGAAGCTAAATGAGTCACATCTCGTGTGGGAAAACACCTGGAAATATTTCAGCTTTGAGTCATGCCGATGGTATCGGTGCACACGTGTTCTGTTTATGGAGTGACTCGAGTAATTAGTAGTTCCACTCATTATCCTGCTTCGAAAAACAAACCGCGGCGGCCAACCGTGGGGTCGAGGCACAAGTACCGTTTCCCTTTTTCGTGTTTTCTTTGGAGTTGGACGCCAAATCTGACCGGTTTCGACTGCCACGAATACGGAAGGATACGCATCTGATCACTAATTTGGTGAGGGGGTGGGGATTAATAGTGGTTTGAAAGAAGATTTTTGCGGGACCAACGCAAATCAACTTATCCCACTCAATGTCAACTGGGAAGCAATCCCGGATGCTGTCTGCCTCTAATCATATGGGCTAGTCGAAATCCCAATTTGAGATAAATGCGCGGGGACTTCCGAGGAACTGCTTTCGACACCAATGGGTGCCGATACTCTACATTTACAATACATGCGCCTGTAAAAACTCGGACTCTCATCTAAATTTTTGGGGTTAGTTTCAACCAGTCAAATGGGTAAATATTTAGGGGAAACATGATGTCCGGTGTCTCAAAGGGCTGCACTGCAGACTCCAGCATCAACTGTTAAGAGGTCAACCCCAATTGATAGATTTCTTTTTGATTGCTCAATGGGATGTGTTTTGTCTCACAACAGGGCCTGTTCCTGATCAACAACCGGATCTCAAAGATCCACCCGAATGCCTTCAAGAACATGAACCGCCTGCGCCTGCTCTACCTTTCCTACAACTTCCTGACGGAGATTCCGGCCAATCTGCCGCCCAACATCATCGAGCTGCGCTTCCACGAGAACAAAATCAACAGGATCCAGAGGGACGCCTTCAAAGGCCTCAAGAAGCTCCACGTGCTCGGTAGGGATCCACAAATAAACCAACGTCTAATTGTTGTTCTTTTCACACATGGCCCGCAGGAGCAGGGAACTGCAGCCACTGTGCAAGGCACAGGTGTCAAATTCTGGCCTTGCAAGTTTTAGATGTTTCCCTCCTCCAACACACCTGATTCAAATCATCATTCTGCTGCTGATCACGAAAGAGCAGATAGAAACAACCCCCCCTCCCTTTTTCTGAAAGTACAAAAAACATTTTTGCTTGGTCAACTTCGTCTTAGCGTTCTGTTTTGGTGCCAAAAAAAAAAAAATAACCCCAACTGCGTCCCTCCAAGTCTGTTCGATAACTTTAAAGCAGTCAAGCAGCACAGGAAATGAAGGACTTGTTACGGCTCTGATATACTGCAGAAATTTCCGGGTTATCTTAGTCCTCATATTCGGTGTCTCTGTCATTCATTTGAAAACATTGGCATGGACAATAGGCGAAAAAAATGCCTCCGCTCATAAATCACTGGAGAGCGTTTTTCCAAAGGCTTTTGCAGGATGGTTCGTTTTCAGTTGAGATGATACATTGAAAAGAAAGGGGGGTGGGGGGACTAATCTTAAGCATAAAAAGATCAGTGGTATTTTAACAGACGTGTTGAAGCATCAAAAACAGATGCTCTTTGTAGTTTTTTTGTTTTTTTTGGTGTAGTGCGCTCAAACCTGGCAAGCCACCAGGATGCGATCATGGCGAGTGCTGAGGCCACCTCATGAATCAAATATCATGGAAAGAGCTCCGAAAATTATTCGTGAAACGGATTATGTTTTTGATCAAATCAAGGGAAAAAAAAAAGAGACAATAGCAACAGGGTTTGCAGCCTCAAGAAAATAAGAGCCACAACGACTATGGCATCTGACGTCGTCATCAGCTCTATAAAACTTAGAGAAATACAAGAAAGCTGCGTTAACTAGATTAAAGATCGCTGGCCAAACATGAACTAAGCTGGTTAGGGACCATTAAAATAACTCTTCATATAAGTCTTAATATGATCGTACAGCTAACAGATTACAGATAACAGTTCCAGAGTGCCAAGTGTCTCAAGTGCGATCGTATGTTTTGAATGAAGAAGATTGTATAATTTGACTTTTAGGATGGGCGATGAAGGAAAATCGCCATTATTCTGACATTGAAATCACGATTAACATGACACAATTATTCACTGATTTCAAAACCAACCCCACCCCAAAAAAAAAAAAAAAAAAAAAATCTGATGTGGACACGTGTAGATTTTCACAGATTGGGAAACTCTATGCCTGTGAGTATGATCACTAAATCCCCTGTAATGCAAATTTTTGCTAGCCCGTCAATGGAGTGTGCTGGCTGTGTTTCTTAAAGAAAACACACGTTGCATATATTAAATCCATCCATCCACCCATTTTCTGATCAGGCAGTAGGCGGGGCACACCCTGAATCGATTGCCAGCCAATCGCCTGGCACACAGAGACGAACAACCCTCCGCGCCCACACTCACACCTCGGGACAATTTCGAGTGTTCAGTCAGCCTGCCATGCATGTTTTTCGAATGTGGGAGGAAACCAGAGTACCCGGAGAAATCCCACACAGGGAGAAGATGCAAACTCCACACAGGAAGGCCGGAGCTGGAATCGAACCCGGTACCTCTGCACTATGAGGTCAATGCGCTAAGCACTCGACCACCGGGCCGCCCATATAGAATACACATTGTGTGTATTATTTGTTATCGTATGTTGAGTTTTACAGTAACTGCAACTGGAGGGTTCATAACCAACTCGTGCAGAAGAACATAGGTCACACGCCAGCAAGGCAGGGCCGTTCCGGATGCTTTCATAACACAGGAACCTACCTAGACACAACGTGCCGTTTGGCAAAGGAATTATTATTATTATTTTTTTTTTTTTAGAATGTTTTTATGGCGGTGAGAAGCTGAAACCGAAATCACAATTCAATTTCGAAGAATTGCCCCAAGCCGAACTTGATTCATGATTCGCTGAACGCAAGTCTCAAGTGAAATTTAGAGTGTTCGACTGGCCTGGGTTGATTTTTGCCACAGGAAATTGGGACTTGAAGGTTAAGACTCGAGACTTACTTGGGTCAATATCAGTCAAAAGTGCCATGACTGTCCTGACCAGGAGCAGCCAGTCATGATGAAAACGCAGCAGAAGAGTTAAACTGGGGCCTTCTTATAAGTGGGCACACATTTGCACCATTTTGACAGTACAAAAAAAAAAATGTTTGCTTCATCTTACACCTTTCTATAAATGTGATTTTTGTGCGTCATAAGAGGTTAAATGATACTAAATCTATTTTTTATGATGAATCATTTACTGTCCGCAACAAGTTATTGGATAAAATGAGCAATTTTGACCATGCAGCTTCTATTTTCATCACATTTTGCACAGGTCCCTGAAACTGCTGTCCGCCCTCTCATCATGGCTTCGCTGTTTGTTTGTGACATCACGACCAGCATTTTGTCTCGCTTCAATGTTGTCCATTTTGTCAGAGCAAATTATCCTTCGATATAAAAACCTTTCAGAACTATATTTGTGAAAAACTTGGTTCAGAGTCGACTTATTAACTGAGTGAACCATATTAGCCTACTTAGTGATGTCCCGCCGCGTGCTGTGCTTGCGGTTGATTTTTTTTTTTAAGTGATGTCCCGCCGCATGCTGTGCCTGCGGTTGATTTTTTTTTTTTTTTTAAATGAAGTGTGGGAGCTTGCTTAAAATACGCACGTAAGAGGTGCAACAATTCAATCCACAACTAATCAAACGTTAATCGACAACTACTTCATTTTGATCGTCTCGTTTCGACATTTCACTTCAAATTGTCCGAATGCTCCTCTCGCCGGCACATATTCTCCAATTTCCGCCGTGCTGCTTGCAAACAGACCGATTATCATTGGGTTGGATCAAAACGAACATCTGCTTTTACTTTGGAAAACAATGAGCCGATTTTCTGACGCCACGGACCAAACCCGTCAGTGAATCATCATCAATTGGATTTGAATGTAATTTTCTGCACCGTCAATTTGAAATAGTGCCCTGTTTTGGAATCAAGGGACAGCAATTTAAAACAATGATTTTTAACCGATTGTTTGGCTAAATATAACTGAAATAGGAATCGACTATTCAAATAATTCCAAGTCGCAGCCCTAAAAAGAGTAATTATGAAGGTCAATGGAAGATCTCAACTTTTGGGGGGGAAGGGTGGGCGGGGGCGGTGAAATGAGGACGTGTGAAAGGCACCTTGTGTTTGTACGGACTCACTTGTGACTTGTTGCGCTGAAACAGAGTTGGGCGCCAACCCGCTGGCCAACAGCGGCATCGAGCTGGGAGCCTTCAATGGCCTGGCCACGCTCTACGTGGGGATGGCCGAGACCAGGCTGACGGCCGTGCCCAAAGGTATCGCCTCCCTCGGCGCCGCCGCCGCTAATTCAAACTAATAAACGGTTGAGTTCCATTCCATTCCCCTCGCTCTCTTTTTTTTTTCTCCCCTTCAGACCTGCCCTCCTCCATCACAGAGCTCAACCTGGAATACAACAAGGTCTTGAAGGTGGAAGTGGAAGACTTCATCAGATATAAAAATCTGCAGAGGTAACCAGTTTTTCTCATCACTAATTAAAAAAACTGCAACTGTGAGCAAATCCAAGACGAATACACAACGGCACGGTTGTCCTCGAAGTGAAGTCGATTCCCCCCATAGGAAGTATGTAAATAAAATCAGCAAATCCAGACTGTTGGCATCATAAACCCTTGATTAACTCGACAGGCAAACCGTTTTTCTCAAGAAGAGTTTCCATCTGTAAAATGAAAATACAAGAAAGAAGAAACCGCTCGCGCTCCTCGGCCACAAAGACACATTTGTTGCGGAGGCCCAAAATCAGATCGACTGTCTTTTAAAGCCAATGAAATTGAGCATTCAAATAAAAATGGCTTCGTCGGAATGTGAAAGAATTAATCCCATTGTGCAATACATTGGATTTTTATACTAGAGAAGGTGGAATAATATAACGTTAGCATTATATCTAACTATTTGGGATTTTTATATTCATTAATATAGCGTACAGTATATATAAATTGAATAGAAGCTGGAGTAAGTAATTTTTTTACTTATTTATTTAAGGCATGTTATGTTAGAATTATATCTAACTATATATTTTTTTCTGAAATCGAAATTTCCATTTGGGATTTTTATATTCATTAATATAGTGTACAGTATATATAAATTGAATAGAAGCTGGAGCAAGTAATTTTTTTACTTATTTATTTAAGGCATGTTAAATTAGTTAAATGATGTCTTTTCTTGCCTTTACTTTTCTTAATTTGCAACGTTTCAATGAATTTTTCAAATGACTCATTTATTGCCTTCTATTGACGAAATAGGACCTTTCATCATGGAATGACATATGCGTTTCTTTATTGACTGACTTGAAAATGTGCCTGAAAAGCGCTCTGCTGAATGCAACATGAAGAAAAAAAAAAACCTCTGACCCTGTCAAAGTGTGTCCGATTGGCTGACATGCAAAGTATATCGTCATGTTGTGTTGGCGTGTGGCAGACTGAGCCTGAGCTTCAACCAAATCCGCTTTGTGGAGAACGGCAGTCTGGCCAACATCCCCAACATCCGTGAGATCCACCTGGACAACAACAGTCTGAAAAAGGTCCCGGCGGGCCTCAGCTCCCTGCGCTACCTTCAGGTGACCCATCGTACCCACGAACACACAAACGCCAGCACTGATTCGCATTTTGTCACTGGCCTTACCTCATTGAGTGTTTTTCACCAAATTTGGTGGAGCGCCAAGCACAACTTCGCTCTCAGAGGGCCTCCTGATTTTTTATTTGTTTTAAACGCTCTTTAGAAGCTCTTGTTTTCAACGACCAACTGCTGCGTTTTCTTAAAAATCTCTCGTGCTGAGCCACGACACCCTTGAAAAGACAAGCAACTGTAAAAGTCTTCCTTGCAAGAGCAAATATTATTGTGGCAGTTTGCGCCAAAATGGATGTCGAACTTTCCAGTTTATAAGCTGCTGTCATCTTTTTTTCCCGCTGCGGGATGAATTTCCCACTCAGACGCTGAAGTGATTGCAAAGATTGTTCCAAAATCTCCGTCTGTCTGTCCAGGTGATTTTCCTCCACGCCAACAAAATCACCAGCGTGGGCGTCAACGACTTCTGCCCTATTCGATTCGGCGAGAAAAAGAACTTGTACAGCGGCATCAGCCTGTTTGCCAACCCCGTCAAGTACTGGGACATCCACCCCGCCACCTTCCGATGCGTCGGCGGACGGCAGGGCGTTCAGCTCGGAAACTTCCGCAAGTGATGGACAGCGAGCTAGCGACCGTCCGCCAAACTGGGGAGAGCCGGAAATGATCCCGACTTAATCCAAATTCTCATACTCAGAGGTGAAACAAACGGATGTGAAAATTTCACATCATAATTATAATGGACTGCAATTATCCTGATAATACTGGCCAACCAAAAAAATAATTTAGGACTCCTGAGTCCGAAAATCACACCAGTTTCTTTGAAGTGGCTCTAGTTTTTGAGATACCAATATTTGTTAACGTTAATTGATAATGAATGCGCTTTGACGGTTTAGGAAATGTACGTTGGTGGTTATTAAAAGTAGTGTTTGGGCTTTGGCGTCAGCCGTTTTTGCATTCGTTCACTGTTAATAGTGCCCAATTTTCAGAATGTTTGCTTGATTTCCTCATGAAAGACAATTTGCATGGCGAGGGCTCGCTGCGAAAACGAGTGAATCCAAAATGACAGATTACTGTACGGGCATGCTTGAAAGTTGAAGCATAAAGAGAATACCAGTGCCGTAACTTGCACATGATTAGCACTTTGCTACAACAAAAATATGCAATTCCTCCAAAATTAGAGCCAGCTTGGGAAAAAAAAAAAAAAAAACGAGGTAATTTCCAGATTCAGTGACATCAAAATACAAGAAAACTGTTCAAACTTTCTTGGCACCAAAATGTATGTTGACCAGTGTAATCAGTATTATTATGAGATCCGCCGCCCCCCCCTCCCCAAAAAAATAAATCACACATACAAGCACCAATTACCATACTTGCATTTCTATTCCCTATTCACAGTAAGGATCTCTCTGCAAAAAAAAAAAAAAAGGGTGTTTACTGTACAATTTTGGATAGTCTTTCCGTGTTTTCCGCCCGTCTCGGCAACTTTTGCCATTTTTTCCCCTGCATTCTCAGCCGGCATGTTGATCATCGTTCATTCATTCCTCAACAGTCTTGGAAAAAGCTCAATACGCCCACACTTCTGCCCTCATCTTTTCTTTAGGTGACGAAATGTCATTTTTTGTCGCTCTGTAATGGTCTTCTATTTCCATTGGTTTGCTGTTGCGACGTGCAGTCCTGGAAAGGGTGAAGCGGAAAAACAAGTACGACTCTCATACGTGCTAAATACGGCAATAACGAGAATTGTCAAAAAAATAAAAAATAAAAAAAATCAAAGGACAATTGCTTGTCATAAATTTGACCACAGTTTATCAGTGCTGCCGGTCTTCGGGTGACGACAATAGCAATTGCAGCACTAAAAAACACATCAACAACTCCTCGACATAAGCTATAGTGACGATAAATTCAGAATTGAATTGCTAACGCTGACTGTAGTAAATTCCATTGACGGTTTATCGGTTCAGGGGGTCCTCGGTTAACAACAGCCTGCTGCACGCTGTTTATAACCTTCAACTTTGTATCACTTCCGTCGCAAACCGAGAAGCCCCGCGAATAGGTTGATTTTTTTGGGCGTTTAAACCACCTCCAAACTTTATACTTGTTCTAACGTTGTATGCTTAAAAATATGCTGACGTTTACTCTGTACCCATCCTCAAACTAACAAAGAAATTTTCCCTCTTTATCTTTCATTCATTTTTTTCGTTCATGTCATTTGCGGGCATTGCAAAGTCCAAATCTTCCATTTTGAACAAGTGTTCTTTCCAGCAAAGGTCTGTAATCACTTCAGGGGGATATTGGCCAGATTCAGTGCAATAATACAAGAATACATGACTCCAAAGGCCAAGCATTTTTTTTTCCCCCTTTGTCATGAAATGTTTTATATGCATGTGGAGTAATTTCCCAGATGTCGTCTTTGTCACAAAAACCAAAAACAGAAGTGTCCTCGGCAGGGCTGTGGATGAACCAATTGTCACAAACGTCTCCTGCAGGTTGAGCCCAAATGCGGCTCATGTCACTGATTTGCAAGAAAGCGAAAATTGCACAAGAATTCTTGACATGTTTTTGTCATATGTCCTCTCCTCTCATGGTGCTATATTTATTGAGTATGTTTTCAAATAAACCTGGAACACCTCCCCAACCTTGTTCACTGTTGTCATTGGGGCTCTTAGCGCAGGGGTGTCAAACGTATGGCCTTTGGACCGGAACCGGCCTGTCGGGTGGGGGCAGTGGATCCAATCCAGCCCGAGAACACATTCAGTGGAGTTTTATCAATACAGGTAACTGCTGTTGCAAATTTTGCCCAGTGGAAGACACACGGGCAACCACTTCCGTGCAATTCTGGAAGTGGCCACTTATCAGGATTTGACGCCTGATATTGATGCTCTTGAACGCATTTTTGTTAAGAAGCAATTTCAGATTGCTCATATGATTTGCAACAAGATAATAATCAAAAACTGTTTTTTCAGATGTTCTTGTAATGAATTTGTACTAAAAACAACCAGGAAAATGTGGAACTGTTGTTATTTAAAGCTTATTAATACCTTAACATGAGATCAAAGTGGTCTGAATGTGACCCATGTATTGAAATGAATCGACACCCGTGTAATTTAGCATTTGCTAACATCGCCGGCCCAAGGAACCTCACTCCATACACTTTTCAACTCTCTTGTCTTGCCAAGACAGCGGATCCTGTCAGGCCTACACTCATGCCGAATGTAATTCGAACTGGAAGCAATTGTGACTGCTGAAGTAATGCCCCCTCTGCTGGTTACAGTCAACTGGTTAAGACTTGATGCCAACGTTTAGCTCATCCACCTTGTTGTTGCCTTTGCAATAAAATAGAGATAAACAAAAGACGACCAAGACTGGCTCTCGTTCTACAGCTAATTATCTAGTCGATAATATGGCTGATATGAAAAGAAAAAAAAAAAAAACAGCTGGAAATAAAGACTTTCATTGATTCTCAATCCACCAGCAGATGTCAGTGCCCACTAAAACTTCTGCTCAGTGGTGTTCAAGGTTTGTTGCTGAGGTTTTTTCCGCTACATGAATATTGTGTTCTTGGCTGTTTAGATGATTGATATTTGTTGTAAGCAGCAAATATTTCTTGAAACCCTATGTAGGAAAAGAGAAAGCAAGAAACTAGATCATCAATTGGTAATCAACTTAGTGATTACCCATACGGTAGTTTTTCTTACGGTATTTTGCTGGTAAATGAAATTAAACAGTGGGGCAAATAACACAGTTGTCGGCTGCTGGTGTTTTCCAGCATGAAAGCGTAAAACGGGATTTAAAATGATGGCGTGATGCGGGAAACATTGGCAAAGATTCCCCTAATGTACGTACAATCGTATACAAACAGCACTTGGGTGATTGTCAGATTGACATTTACCTAAATGTAGGTGTACAATTTACTGTCCGAGTAAATTTCCGGCAATAAAGACGCAGCGCTAACGGCTGTTAGCTGCAACGTTCAGACCTGCCCCTTCAGGTTGACGCCATTCTATTGTAGTACCACAGGGGGCAGTAGCGCATATTTCAAACCGTTACCAATTGACCAAAAAAAACAAAAAACCCATCAAGGTGAAGATGATGTTTGTGAGGATTTTAGAGGCTTTGATGTTAAAATCAGGTGACCCCCCTGCAATGTAAGATTAAACGAATGCAATGTTAAGACTGTCATGTTCAGAAGTGACTTTTCAGGTTGTTGCAGTTCCAATCAAGTCCTGTAGGCAAGTTCCAAACTCTGTCCAACCGTCAAAACAAATTATGGAGAAGATGGCGTTTCTGGCGGTGTCAAATGCTTTCATCTTCAATTCCAGGTGTCTAATTGTTATGTTAAGACTGTAATGTTTCGACTCGACTTCTCTGTTGATGACCGTCAAAACAAATCATGGGGCGGCTGACATTTCTGCCTTTTGTCTGCTTGCAATGCTAATGCTAATGACCAAATAACGTCCCAAAAAAGTAAACGAAAACTGCGATGAATATGCTAAATCCATCCGTCACAATTCCTCGACTCACAAAAACTGACCGGATTTGAGATCGCCCGCCTGATTCGGAAGCCAACGCACCCGGAATCGGGATAGAAAGGTGCTTAACTTTTCCCGTGGTTAGCGATTTCGCAGGCACGGCCGTAAGGGAGATGAAGACTTGGTAAGTGTGGACTTTTGGGGAGGCAAGAGGCAAGCTGCAGGAAACATATGGAAGAGATCTACCACTTGGCCAGACCCCCCTCCTGCCACGTCTCACAGCGCACACACACACACGCACACACACACACACACACACACACACACACACACACACACACACACACACACACACACACACACACACACGCACGAGTATGTGCGCACTCGCATAAACAATGATAGGACATGTTCGCAACTAAATGCCTTCCGAGAGGTAAACAAAGTCATAAGAGCTCAACAAGCAGGATGAGTCACAAGCAAAACAAACGACGGTTGTGGTTTTTGGACCCGGCTTGGCTTTGGTCTTAAGGGCGGCTCAAAATGGGGCCGAATGTCTACGGTGGGGTACCCCGTGCTTTAGTCTTCTCCATCGAATTCACGGCTTTTGCTGCTTTCAAAATGTTTGAAATGAGAAAGAAATTGTTTTGATTGCCTTTCCATCAGAGAGAGCAACGGCAAACAAGGAAAAAGATGCAAAGCGTAGAAAACGACGTTGGACTCGTGTGTCACGAAATAAGAGTGAAATCACAAAACCGCGTACATTTTTCGCTGCCAAGATCGCAAAATCTGTAAGTAAGTAAGCCGTTCACATTTTAGGCCGACTGTGATGTCACAGTCAGCCTAATTTATCTCATACCTTCAGAGCAAATTTGTTTTCGCATGACTCGAAAAGGAGGCTTGTGGAAGATCAGCAGCTTTTCAAGCCGAGGTCGGACTGTACGGAAGCACGATCACGTCAAAACCAAAAGCGAAGCAGAGCGATAGTGTTGCTAGGTTGGATGAGGAATCACTTCATCCAACAGTGATAACAGGCGTATACAGTGGATATAAAAAGTCTACACACACCTATTCAAATCCCAGGTTTTTGTGATATATATATTATAAAAATGTGACCAGTAAATGAAGCATTTGGCAATAAAGCAGCGATTAAACATTTCCAAACTTCTTCCACCATTATGACAAGTTCATCCTTGCTTTCATTGGACCCTAACAGATTTTCCCAAACTAGTTTTGGTGATTTATAGTTTTGTTTTGGATTTTTTTTCCACTTTATAAGATAAGGTTTGCATCTTGCTAATCTCGGTTGTTTATTTTTATTTCCCCTTCCAAAAAGAGATTTTTCTGATTGAGTTGTACAGCTAATAGCTCACATTTATTTCTTTATTTATTTTTGGCAATGATTTGTCTTTTTTTTTTTTTTTTTTAATCTCAAAAACATCTGGCACTTGAACTTGGGTTTGCAGACTTTTTATCCACTGTCTGAGTTTTTTTTTTTTTTTTAAGTGTGGGCAATATTCTTGCTTCTGATACCGCCTCAGAATCTGGAAAATTCATGGTCAACAAAAGCGACACGAGAAAAAGACGTCTTTCCCAAAGCGGGTGAAGGAATCATGAACGAGCCATGAAGGCATCCTATGTCAGAGCCTAATACTCGCTTGATTAAGAGCAGATTTCATTTGAATTCCTGAAGCTCGCTGTAAAGCCTGCACTCGAATAATCCCTTTCCCAAAAGAAGAGAGAGAGAGAGAAAAAAATTCCATCACAGATTTGTGGCTCTTCTGAAAAGATCCATGCAAAATATAAGATATTTCAAGCTCACCCACAATGGGACTTTTCACAGATGAATTTTTGGGA